AAGACTATACTATATATATATATATATATATATATATATATATATGTAAAAGCAAATACGGAAATGTGTCAGCAACTGAGGTGGCAGTGGCGGGAGGATCCGGAGGAATACGGAGGAAGCGGAGACTACTGAGGATCGCAACCACCGTCACACCGACACACCGCTCCACACGGCAAGGTTGCACGTGACAAAAAAAAACCCACTATTATTATTATTATTATTATTGATTTACACTTGGTTGAAGGTGTTCACCAGAACTTTCATTTTTGATGTCGTCGACAACTATAATCGACGTCCCCCGCTCTCTTTACAGATGTGCACAGGACGGGTCATACGACTTCGTCGAGGGAGAAACACACACCGTAGTCTCTCTCTCTCAGCTGTTATAGAAAGAAATAGCTAGTATTACTGTTATTGAGATCGGGAAAAACCAGGGAAAATAAGCACCTCGAAAAAAAAAAACACAGTATCAGCAAACGCGATTCATTGCATGCGCGGAGACGTCATCATTGGCAGAGGGCTGAATGCGCGTTGCGTCGTGCGACGCCAGCGGGGTCGCTTGCTCTTGCGACTTCCACCCATGCACAGACGCCGCATTGCCCACCATGCTTGTGCTGCTGGTCTGTGTGACGGTCCCGCTGCTCCGTGATCCGACCTCCAACGGTATGGAGGTGGCGACCGACAACCCGCCAGACCCCGCGCTGCTGTTGATCTGCTGCTGATGCGCACTAACGGCAAGCCGACGGTGTTCCTTGTGCTGCGCGCTGAGTGCTGCTGCGGCCGCTGAGATGTGACGTTGATGGTGAGGCAGCTCGCGTGACTTGCTGTGCGTGGTGCAGCGGCTTGTGCTGGACGAGGAGCTGCCGCGGTGGTGGTGCAGACGACGCCCACGGAAGCCCGGCGTCTCGCCCATCTGCGCCGGGGTCAGCCGTTGGGGGGCGAGGTTCGAGGGCAGGGGCACCATCGCGTCGGACTGCATCGAGTTCAGCGGCGAGACCAACTGCGCACTGCACGCGTTGGTGCTCTGGCCCATCATGAAGTAGCTGCTCAACGCACGCGCCATGGCGGGGGAGGTGTCAAAGGGGGAGGTGAAAGCGCTCGTTAATACCGACTTGGAGGCGCCGTCGTCTTTGCCTTCGCCTTCGTCCCCGTCTGCTGCTGCGCCCGCCGCCTTGGACGAAGGGATGGCCTTCACCGTGGGCATGAGGTGGAAGGAAGCTGCCGTCAGCGGTGGCACACACGTCAGCTTCGGCGTGAGCGCCTCCTCTACCTCGTCCGGCAACGGCAGAAACTCTACGCAGCCGGCGTGCATCTCCGTGTCGGTCGAGCAGTCCGAGTCGCTGTCGCCGTTGTTGTTGCTGCTGCTCCTCCTTCTGCAGCTGAGGAGCGGCACAGCTGTGGCCGGTGCGCCGGTGCTGGAGGTCGCCGAGGCACCACTCCCACACGGTGTTTCTGACAGGGCAACGTGCGACTTCTCGCGGCGACTCTCCTTCCGCGCCAGGTTCACCGTCACGTACCTCAGCGCCTCCTCGACGGTCCATCGCGCTTGCGGAGCGCGGTGCAGCAGGCCGTTAAGCAGCACGCGCCACTTCTCGCCGAACTCATCCGGCACCGTCGGCATGAACGCCGCGTCGATGATGTCCTCCGGGCTGCGGAAGGGCAGCTTGCCCACCAGCAGCGTGAAGAGCGTCACGCCCGTGGCCCACATGTCCACCGGCTTGCCGTACGACTTCGTGCCGTCCCACAGCTCCGGCGCGATGAATAGCGGCGTGCCCTTCGTGCCCAGCACCTGCGGACCGCCGACGCGGTTCCCCGTCACGCTCATCGCCAAGCTCGCCGCCATGCTCGCCGCCATCAGGCTCTCCGTGCGCTGGCGGTAGGACACACCGAAGGTCTCCGCCACGCCGAAGTCGGCGAGGTAGGCGTGGCCGTCGCGGCTCACGAGGATGTTGTCCGGCTTCAGGTCGCGATGCACCACGTCGTGGCGGTGGAGGTACTGCAGGCCCGTCAGCATCTCCCGCGCGTAGCGGACGAGCTGCGCGGGCGGGATCGGGTCGCACACGTAGTCGCTGTTCGCGCGCACCGCCACCTTCGCCACGACACCCTTGTCAACGTACTGCATCACCAGGTACAGCTTGTCCGCGCTGGGGTCGTCGATCACCTCGTACAGCGACACGATGTTGCGGTGCCGCAGCGTCTTCATCACCTCGACCTCACGCATGAAGGCGTTGTACTGCTTCTGCGCCACCGTCAGTCCACCGAGCCGCTTGCGGGTGTCCACGCGGCGCACGTACTTGATCGCCACCAGCCGAGACTCGACCTCGTCGTAGGCCAGCTTCACCTTGCCGCAGGAGCCGCGGCCGAGGGACTTGAGAATGCGGTAGTTGTTGATGTACTCCGCACCGTTCAACTTTCGCTTAAGCAGCTCGAGGGACACGATGGCAGGCGGTGCGTTCGTAATTCCCGCCGTGCAGCGGTGTTCGTCGGGCTGCGCGAGAGCAGCGATGTCGATGTCATCGACCACGCTCGACGCGATGCTGACGGGTCCGGTGACGGCAGGAGACGGATGCCGGCGGCGGTAGGATGAAGTGGCGAGCGGAGGCACATCCCCTCCGCTCTCCGCTGCGAGACGGGGAGTCGTTATCGGGGTCGTGCGTGACCCCGCTTCGCTCTTCCGATTCACTTCAAAGGACGAGTCAGAGGAGGAAGCTTCTCCTGCCTCACCGGTCGCCACCACCGCCGCTGTAGCGGGCGTCGCCCACGGCTCCACCGCACCGACCGCTGTGTCGGACGACGGGCAGCTTCGTTCGTGCTGCACCGCCATTCGAAGGCGTCGCGGAAAGTCACACAGAGGCAACAGCGGTGCTGCCTTCCCCTGCGGCACGTGAGCGGACAGCTGTGGAGACGCGACCGTCAACTCAAGAGATGGCGGCAGGCTCAAGTACTTCCACTGTCCACGCCGCGCGCTCGCGCCGCTGTGATTGCCAGACGGTGTGGAGGGTCGAAGCATCTGCGACGGAGGTGTCAGCAACGCATTCGCCGTGAAAAGGCCATCGGCGTCATCGGCGGTGGAGTTAGGTGTTGCGGCGGCGCAGAGAAAGACCGCACTACCCGCCGCCGTGCTACAATGACGGCACGTACTGTTTTGACTGCCGCCGCGTCGATGGCCCGTGAGCACGTGGTCCGCGCTGTGCACGACGGACGCCGCGGCTTCAACGACGGGCCGCCTTGGCGTGGCGAAGAGCGGCACTGGCTGCTGATGCTGCTGCTGCATGGGAGGGGCAGGCGCGTTGTCCGTGCACGTTGAGATGAACGGCGAGGTGGGCGGGCAAGACCAAGCACTCCGTTGAATCTAAAGACGTACCAGGAGCGACGTAAAGCGAAAGAATGTGATGGACGAAGTATCGAGACGTTGGAACGTGCGAGAGAGGCGGAGATGCTCCACAGGGAAACAAGCAGCACCACCACCACCACCACAACAACAACAACAGCAACAAAATAGAAATACCAACAGATACCTGCACCGGCAACTCTGCTTTCGCTTCTACGAAACAGCGGGTGCGACGGGTCAGGGACCGCCACAGCAGCCGTTGCCGAGACGGGCTGAAACGGAGAAAGGGAAAATAGAATCGAAATCAACAGCACCAACCGCAAAGCAGCCAGAAAACAAGATTATTTGCACACACGCCAAAGACCAAAAAGAAAAGGAGAGAGATAATACCGTCTTCAGAGAACTCCGGAAAGCAAAAAAAGAAGCAATGCCGAATCCAACGGATAACACTGGAACAGAGGAAACACGGGAACGACCTCGACGCAGAGGAGAACAGCACCGAAATAGAAAGCCAGAAAGAAAGCGAAAACAGATAGACAAGGCAAATCCACTCGACTTAGCTACATATAAGATGGGAGATGGAGAGAACGTTACAAGAAAAATCAGCATAGGTACCCACACAGACACACACTCACGCGCAAGCACGAGAAACGTATAGTGGCGTGTTCGTGCCCGTTTCAACAGATTTCGGTAAACTCAAAAAAAAGAAGATAATTGGAAAAGAAAAGCACGTAGAAGAAAGTGCTTCTCGGAAATCAATAGCGGGAAGAAGATTGAATAAAGAACGAAAAGAAAAGAAACACGAAGGAATTACTTTTACGCTTCACCAATGTTTTTTCTTCTTTTGACCGCTTCCTATGGAGCTTGATCGATGTCGTGGCTCGCGTTTAAAGATGCGGATATATATATATATATTTGTGAGCGATGCACCAAATTCCAGTGGCTGCTGTATTCGGAAAAGAAAAAAGTAGTCTTAATGGCAGTTTACAGCGCAGAAGCCGCTTTCGAGTTGAAGGCTTGCTTTCTTATTGTTTTTAAAAGGCGCCAGGTCAATGATGAACAAGACTGATCTTCTTGTCCGCCGTGAATGACGCAAAGCGATGGGTATGACGCACTAGACGAGAGAGGGAGAGGAAGAAAGAAAACCCATTGAAACGCTGCGGTGATCGCTTGTCGCTTCTTCTTATATATATTTTTATTATTGTGCTGCAGTAGTTTATTGAAGGTGTATGTGTGGAGGAAGAATCAGCCATCAGATTCGCAGAAGAAAGAAATCGGAATCGAAATAGAGACAGTTACATCGGAAAGGATTAACAATATATCATTCACTGTACTGCGGAAGTGTACTTACTGGAGTGATCATGGGCCCCACTGAACTGGTGCGGTCTTCGCACCACTTCCGTGCTCCCTTCTCCTCCGTCTTTTCTAGGTGTAGCCGGCAACCTTCAAAAGAGGAGAGAAGCCCCAGTTTTTTACGGACAGAAGCGAACGTGAAGACGCGCGTGACCCGCAAGACCGGGGATCTCTTGGTTTCTTTTATCCTTCCTCAGGCTAGGCCACACCATTCGCTGCCTCCATTAACAGAGAGCGCTCATCTACCACAATTTCAAGCACGGCGTGAAGGAGAAAAAGCAAAGAAACTCCAATGAGGATGACAAACGCCGAAGTAGCAGTGAGAAGCGCACGGTAGATGCGGTGGAGCAGAAGAGAAGGTGCGTAACGCGACACAGGGGCTACACACCACGACGTCGCTGCGGCGAAGTGGGTGATATCGGCAAAACGACGACAAATGGAAAGATGGTACAGTGAGGTTGGAGGCGAGGATTTTAGTGAACAGCAAAAACATCTAGGCGAAGTACAACCAAAAAGGAAAGGCGGGGGTGGGTTGGGCCCACACCAACAACCCCCCCCCCCCCACCACACACACAATTATAGGACGCCATCGTTTCTCCCTTCCTCCCTCTCTTGCATTCAGACGCTGGTCAGTGCAACTTGAAAAATAAAACAATAAAAGAAGAAGTCCGTAGAAGATGACACGCCGGTGTGCGGCGAAGAGGTGAATGGGAAATGAGAAAAACAGAAGAAGGATGACCATTGACATTGGGCGCCTTAAAACGATGTCCGGCGGAGACGAGAGACACAAAGCGCCAAACACCAGAGGAGCAGTCTAGCAGACAGCAACGGATACGACAATGCTGCTTTGGGATGCGCACGTTACAGTGCAACAACGCAACAGCAGGAGAAAAAAAAAACCTTACGACGAAGACGGTGCTGCGGAAAGCAAACACACTGCATTGCAGCGAGGAAAGGAAAGGAGACAAAAAGAAAACGCGTTAAATACAGTATGAAATTAACGGAGCAAATGGCCGCAATGGCAAGAAGGCGAAGGGGACGGCGATGACGATAACACCGCGAAAATCGATAAACCCGCACACACAGGAGTGAAGCATATCGCACCGGTGTGGCACGTATCCGGCGGATACATAAGCTCCAGTTCTCAAAAAAAATAATAATCTAAAGGACACTGCGTCTATCAACTGTTCGCATCACACGCAGCAAAATGCAAGAAGTCCAGAACGACCACCAAACACATCTGCGAGTTGCTTCGTGAAAACTACTAGCAAAAAAGAAGAAGAGGAGGGGGCGGTGGTACTACACCCACGAAAGCAAAAGAAGTCACCAAGAGCTGTAAGAAAATGCAAAGGAACCCAACTGGGAAGTAAAGGAGAAACAATCAACAGCAGCAACAACGCCAAAACACACACACACACACACACACACACGCCAAATTATCTCCTCCGACTTCCCAAACAAACGAAGAAAAACAAGCGGCAACACCTGTAAAAAACAGAAAAGGCGGAGCCCATCAATGTATGACGCTCGTGGTGTAGAAGGGCGGAGCGTGGTGCAGCGCATCCATGCGCTCGTTGAGTAGTTCCACTTCGTCAGCGATCATGCGCTGCAGTTGCCGTATCGCAGACTCCGTCGCGACGCGGTCTTTCTTGTCCTGCGCACTCAGCTTCTCCACGCCGCCGGCCTTCTGCGCCTTCTGCCGGTCCGCGTCCGCCTTCTCCAGCACCCGGGCCAGCTCTCTGCGATGGCTCTTGAGGGCGTCGTTCACGGAGTTGTAGCGCAGCGCCTTCCCGGTGTACGCGTTCCGGTTATTCTGATAGAAGTCCATCGCAGGTTCGAAGTCCGCGTCGGACGGGTTCTGCGAGGTGGCAGCCTGCGGCTCCGCGTCGGTGATGCCGCACCCGCAGATCGTGTAACACGGCCCGCGCAGCGCGTAGAGCAGCAGCTGTGCGATGGCGCCCTTCGCGACGCCGGCCAGCGACGTTTGCAGCACCTTCGGCCCGCCACGGGTGAGAATGACCAACATCGAGGAGAGGGAGACGTCGTGCTCGGCGCTCACGTAGAGCTTTTGCCACAACGAAATTACCAGAAAGTGGGGCGGGGCCCCGGCCGCCGTGATGGCGTCATCGCCGCGGAAGGCCGCCGTCAGAGACTCGGACATTTCACGCGACGTGCGCACCGGCGTTGGCTCCGCGTTGGCCAGAAAAACACCGATGAGCGGTGACTTGCCCAAGAGTGGCGCACTGCGACCTTCCACGCTGGGGTTGTGCACCGCAGCATGGATGGCGCTCGTGCTCAGCAGATCCACCGCGCTGTGCTCGTCCAGATACCCGACGGACAGGAAGAAGGAGGCCTCGCGCGGGCAGCTGGCGACGGCGCTGCGACAGACGTGCTGACAGACGCTCTCGCACACGCCCTTCGCTTGTGCGTGCGTCGTCTCCTGGAAGATCATCGCCGCGTTGTAGCCCGCCAGACACCCGGCCACTGCGTCCTGCAACTGCGAAGAGCCGCGCAGGGCGGCGTAGTTGCTGGTAGGCGACACACGCGCGGCTGTGTCAGCGAGTGCCAGGCTCACGATGCCATCAAAGGCGTACACGGACTCGGTGCTACCGTAGTTCACCGTCACCTCATTTGTCGGCGACGTCGACAAATGACACGTACGGCGCAGCTGCTGCGGCTGCTTCTTACTCTTATCGGTCTCGTTCTTGTCAGAATTGCTGTGCAGCAGCAGCAGCAGCGTATGCGCGACGATGCCACTGTCCCGGCCGAGGGCCACGGCGGAGACGGACTGTGGCACGGAGACCGCCCCGGCTCCTCTGTTCGTCGTGTTCTTCGCGGAAGCCGTCGCGCTGTCCGCCGTCGCCGCCCCCTGCTGCGGCGGTGGCTGTTGTGACTGCTGCGGTGGTGGCGGTGGTGGATGGCTCGACAAGATACTCGTTTTGTGTTGGTTGGAGCTGGTGATGACAGCGCTCGAGTACGTCGCTTGCAGCTGCGGCAGACACCCGCTCGAATTGGCGCTGTAGCGGGCGGAGGTGAAGAAGAGCGACTGCATGTCTTCGACGGTGCGCGTGGGGTAGATCACGAAGCCGCGAACATCGGCGTTGTGCAGGTACTCCAGGTGCTGCTCCGCAAAGGCCTCCAGCTTTTCCGCACAGGCCAGCGCCGTCGATTCGTCTTCCGGGGTGATGTCGCGCGGTGCTTCGTCTACCCCGGCGACGGCGTGCTCCTTCAAGTTGTCCAGCACCGCGTGAATGGCTCGAGAGGCCGTCAAACAGGCCGTCACGTACACGCTGATGCGACTGCTGCGCAGGGCTTCGTTCTGCACCCGACCCAGCATGTGCTGCGCCTCCAGCATGCTCGTCGCTAAGGCAGGTGCGGTGTTGGACGTCTCTACGGTGAGGAGATGCACCGACTTGCAGGAGCCGCCGATGACCTCGCTGAGAAGCCCAAACGGGTAGACGGCTTCGTTGAGCCCCACCGCACCGTTCACCTCCGCCACCGCCTTCGTGAAGAGGTCCATCGAGTTGCGCGTGACGACGACTGTGCAAGAGGAGAAGCCCGCGTCCCACGTGAACTCCGGTCGGTTGTCGGGTGCCTCGGCGGGCGTCAGCTTGCACGTTGTTTTCCGCACCGCTGTCAAGACCAAGTACACATCCGGGTCCGCACCCGCTTCGGCGTCGGCGTACGCCAGCATGGAGCGCAGCACGGGCTGCACCTCCGCCACGTCGAAGAGGTCGACCCCGCGGGTTTGGTAGAGTATAGCCCCGAAGAGCGGCGATGCGCCGACGAGGGCCTCCTGCCCGTCCACCGGCCGATCGGCCGCCTGCGATCCAACCTCCGCCAGGTCGCGCACAATCATCTCGCCCTTCAGGACGGAGCCGAAGACGGTAAACTGCGACGGTGACGGCAGCTGCATCTGCGTGTTCGCGACGCTGGCCATGATGGCCTCTACGACTTCCCATAACGGGAGCTGCTGGAAGGGCCGCACCGCAGCGCTGCAGTGCGTGCACAGAAGAGCCACATTCACTTCCTCTTCCGCGAAGGCGCGGTGGACACCCCGCAGGTCCTCGAAGTTGTGCAGGAGCTGGTAGGAGTTCGTTCTGGGGTCGTACTGCGCCTCGCGCACCTCATCCACCACGAAGTGCCGTGCCTCGCCGGTGTTGTTGCTGCTGCGACGCGCTGTTGGAGCGGTGAGCACCAACGTATGCGGATCCACGATGGCTAAGGGCAGACGCGGAGACAGCGACGAAGACGATGACACGGCGTGGCCGTGCGACCCCAGCTCACCAGGGACAACGAGCACGTTCGTCTTGATGTACTCGCCGTAGCTGGAGGTGCTGCTGACGGGCTCCTCATTGTGGTGACTCGTGCGGCTGATGGAGGGCGACTGGTGTTGTTGGTGCTGCGGCGTCTGCAGGTCGGTAGAGCTGGCTGGGTCGAGGGACAAGGTCTGATCGCGCAGACGGTCACTGCGCACACGGGTGTCACGTGAGTGCGTGTTGAGGGTAGACGAGTCGGGCGGACGCACCGAAGAGGGCGGTGGGGAGGACGTACGGGCAGCGTGCGCGGCTGGCTGCACGGCGGGAAGCTGCGTCTGCGAGACCTCCGGCAGCGGTGCGAGGGACAAAGGCGTTCCTTTGTCGACGGACCTCTCTCGCCGCTTCAGGAAGGACGGCATTTGGATCTGTACTTCGGTTCCATTGAAACCGGAGGAGGAGGTGGACTGGACCCACTCCTGCGGCGACACGGTGGATCGACGACGATGGGCTACGCCGCTGTTGCCGTTGCCGATGTTGTTCTCGCTGCTGCTGCTGCTGCTGCCGCCGTCTTGCTTCTTCGGGGTCGGTGCATTGGAAGGGATCAACACCACCCGATACGCACCAACGTGCGGCTGCTGATTCAACCCGTTGCAGAGGGCGACTGCGTAGAGGCACGGCTCCGCCGCCGGCTCCTGCAGCAGCGCCATCGCGTCTCGGCGCATCCGTTCCAATGAGAGTATATTTCGATCCAGCTCCTCGCTTGCCACCTGCGCCGTTGAGCTGAGAAACTTCTGGACACTGCCGCTGCGTGGCGGGCGATTCACGAACCCGCGCATGTACTGCGAGAACTCAAGCGTGCTCTTGGAGTAGGTCAGATCATCGTTGCAGTCCACGAAGGACATGACAGCGGTGCAGCAGGGGCCACCGCCGAAGGCCTGGCGGTACAGCGGCCACAACGCAGCGGGCTTATCGTGCAAGAGGTGGTGCGCGACAGCAAAGTTGTGTCCCACCCACAGAAGATGCAAGGAGGAAAGGTAGACGTGCATGCCAAAGGCGCTCATCTCCGCGTGCGCTTCGAGGTCGTCCTCTGGTTGACGGGGGGCACGGGTCTGCCGTAGCAGCACCGTAACGTGCAGCAGCGCGTTGGGGTCCGTGTAGGGGTCGGCGCGCAGGTGGCGTGCGTTTTGGATCAGCGCCCGGCTCAGGAAGGTGGCTTCGTCCATGGACCACATGTTGACCGGTGCGGTGTTCACGATGCGGGTGCCCATGACTGGGTTGGTCCCAAGTCGGACCTCTGACTTCTCCTGCGGGTCCGCCGTGGTCGGCAGCAGGTCGTACAACCCGCCATCGAGGTCGAGGGCGTGGGCGCAGATCGATAGCTCGTTGCGGAAGTCGCTGCCCATCAACTCCGACTGCTGGTAGACGGTTTGAACCATCGTCGAGACGGCGTCCTCGGCGAGCGCGGTGCACTGCGGTGTATTTGCAATGATCAGCGTGGCACTGTGCCCGCTCAGGAAGTGGATGCGCAACGCATCAGCAATGAGCGAGTTGTGCACGGCGCCACCAGAGGCGTAATTCACGTCCAACACTTCATCCGCCATGAAGTTGTCGCGTGGGTCGGCGTGCGAGTTGTTGCTGAGCGATGCGAGCCACGCAGACCGGCTCGACTCCAAGGAGTGTGGGAAGGGCGGCGGCACCAGCGGAGGCAGCACCGGGGTGTTCGCGTAGGTGCTGCGGGCATCCAACGGTGGTGGCCGCACCGCCGCCAGCTCCCCCTCCGTGTTTGCCTTCACAATAACGATCTGCACGTGGTGCTCTTCCTCTCCCTCGTGGGGGTCTTCGGCCGCTTTGCTCACGCCGGCCAGCGCGGACGGCGAGCTCTCGCCGTCTGACTCGTCGTCCCATCGTATGGTTGCCCTACGCATCACCGGGGGAGCCGGCGTTACGTCCTCGCCTTTCAGCAACGCCCCACTGGGGGACGTGACGCTCGCGAGGTCGTGGAAACGGGCTTTGGTCATTGAGTCGCCGCTGCCGCCGGCGGTGGTGGTGGTGCGAGCAGGCGCCTTTATCGCCGTGTCCTCCCGTCTGTGGGCTGCGGTGCCGCCGCTGCCGCTGGACTCGTTCATGCGTGGACGACTGGGCCGCGTGGCGGCCGCTGCATCGGTGGGCTTCCTCGGGCCACTTAATTGATTCGCTGCAGCGGTGGACCTGGCTGGCAGAGTTGGTGCGTCGTGCGTCGCGTCTCTGGTGGGCGGCGTTGCGTGCTCCACGCTGGTGCCGTCGTCCGGCTGCGCTAGATGCAGATGCAAGACCTTGGCCGGAGCGCTGCCGTAGTGTTGGTGGGAGACGGAGTAGCGGGAAGGCAAGCCTGGGAGCGGCGGGCTGGGCTCTGCAGCGGCGGCCGCCCGATCAAGGTGTGGCTGCTGTTCCGCTGGAGGGAAATCGCGGTTCAGTGGAGCGTCGCGCGTTGGGGAGTGAATGGCGGGCATCATAAACAAGTTCGCTCCCGAGGCGATGGAACTGGCGGGCTTCGCACTCTCACCCGGCCCTGAAGTGGCCAGCGGTCGCCGCAACGACTGTGCTGAGAGCACCGGCGAGGGGACGGAGTAGTACGAGTGCGTTTTGTTAGCTAAGAAGTTGCGGCCCAGTTGGGCGATGCTGTCATCTACGTCTACGTCGTTCGTGGACACCGCTGACGCGGACCGGGAGTGGGCAAATGACGATGCTGGGGCTGCCTTTGCTGTTGTGGCGGTGGCTGTTGGAACGGCGGACGGCGCCGTCGTCGACACGCCGTTGCGAGCAAGAGGCGGCTCATTTGACGGCTTCGAGTTGCCCGTTTTTTTAGCGTTGGCGGAGGTGTCGTTGGGGGACGTGCGCGGGAGGTCGCTCAGCTGCGCCGCGCCAAAGTACATCGGTTGGGTGAAGTAGGAAGAGGCCACGCTTGAGGCGTTGCTGCCCTTGCTGCGGTAGAGGTCCGTCTGCGGACCGAACGAGGTGAAGTCGTACTCCGCCTCCTCTGCCATGATCGCCTGCAGTTGAACAAAAAAAAGAACACGCAGATGAAGAAAACAAATAATACTAATAGTACGAGAGTCGACTGGATGCACGGAGCAGCGAGGATGGCGCGGGAGTGCGCGACACAGGGGTGGTCGAGGATGAGAATAAAGGCAAATAAAAATAATGATGATTAAAACCACAATAGCTGCAGAAATAAAGGAGAGAGAGAGAGAGATACTTAGGAGGCGCAAAGACAACCAAAAAAAAAGGCCACACCGATGTAACGAAGTATTCACATGCGGCGGACGCGTACTTCTCTGTGTTTCTCTCCCCCTCCGCTATTCAAGAAAGATATCGACCACCCGTGCGAGTGTGTATGCGTTTGCGTGTGTTTGTATTTATATCAGCTGTTAGAGGAAGAAGGGGAAAGAAAGGATTGAATCGTCTTTTCTCTCTCTTTCGATAACCGACAGCAACACAGACAACCACCGAGAGACAAGAATACGGGACGTAAAGCAAATGACTCTGCTGGTGAAAGCAACGGGAGATCGTGATGGAGATGGAGAAAGGAGGTGAGGAGCTACAGCAAAGGGTGCAGAGAGAGAGAGAGAGAGGAAACTTCAGCTAACCCGACCGAAGTCGTTTGCCCTCCCCTCGCAATCAAAGAGTGTCCATCGATTCACTGTCAGCAACGCCGCGCGGACATGCATGAGGAAAAGGGCACGTCGAGATAGGCGAACGAAATGTCGTTACATCTACGCACGTGCTTTCGTATTCCGGCGTGGCGCGCGGAGACATCGACGGAGAAAGCATTCCTCTACGTCGGTCCCTTCTGACCAGACAGCCGATCGCACGCTCGTTGCCGCGTAGCGTTTGGTGAGTCTCTTACAGTTCTGCCTTTCTACACAGGAAATCCCCTTTCTCTCCACACACACACACAGAAGAAAACAAAAACACGTTCACCGGCCGATGGGCGCAGTGGCGCATCTGCACCACCTCCGCTGCAATTCCTGGACGGGAAACGAAACTACATGAGAAAACAAGGAGAGGAGGACGCACAACCGCAATAGACGGCGGTTGGACACCTTCGTCGAACAAACAAGGGCAGCCCTCTCTTTTCTTTTTCCTTTCCAAGCTCTTCTTCCTGGACGTCCACAGACGTACGCGCTGCCTGCGCACGAAGGCCCCTACAGCACAGAAGCGCGTCCCACGCACCAAACGCGCAAGCGGCGATCCCTTCGCGCCTTCTCTTCGGGAAAAGACGAGCCGGAAGTGAGCAGCGAAGACACGCAGGCGAACACACACACACACACACACACCCGCACCAACACAACAACAACAAGAGAAACTGGAGAAAACAACGTTAGCAACAATAAGAATGCGAATAGGGGAAGGGTAAATAAGACCAGGTGCGGTATGCGCGATGGCGCGCCACGACAACACAGACCTCCTACAACGTGAAAGGATCGAAAGAAGAACGAAAGCAAAATATCGCACACACGAGGTGTGCGGCTACTCCTGCTCCGCCTGGCGCTTCCTCTTCGCGGCCTCCTCCTCGCGCTCCTTCTCTACCTCCACCACGAACTTCTGCAACTCCTCCTCAGAAAGGTACCGGGCGTCTTTGTGCCACAGCACCAGCAGCTCGATGTTGCGGGAGCCGCTTTCCACCACCTCCAAGAGGGACTTGATCGCAAAGTGGACGCACTCGTCACGCGACATGCCGTCCTTGTAGTTCTTCTCCATGTACTCGATCACCGTCTGGTCGTGCCGGCCGATCGCGACGGCGCGCCAGGCGGAGCACATGCCGGACGGGTCCGTCTTCCACAAATGCGGCTTGCCGTCCTCGTTGAAACCCCCGACCACCGTGGCCACACCAAACGGCCGGCTCCCACCGCTCTGCGTCGACTTCTGCTGGACGCCGGCCAGGTAGCGAACCAACATGTCCACATCCATCGTGTCCTCGTAATTCAGGGAGAAGCGCTGGCACTCGAGCTGTGCCTTGTTGATCAGCACACGCGCATCCGCGGAGAGCCCGGCGAAGGCGAGGTAGATGTGCGCGTCGACCTTATAAATCTTACGCACCGTGCGGCTGTCCTGCAGCTTCACGGCGGACTTCCTCTCCACCGCAATGACAACGCTGTCAGCGCCGAGCACGCCGACGGCGGCTAAGCCCTTCTTGACGGCCTCCTGCGCGTACTCCACCTGGAAGAGGTGACCGTCGGGGGAGAAGACGGTGATGGCGCGATCGTAGCTCATCTTCTTCTTGTTTCGTGAGAGGAGAAGTTGAAAACGGGCTTCGAGTCGTACGCACGGTAGAGGTAATAATACTAAAAGGTAGATGAACGTGCGGAGGGAATCCTGCAGAGTCCGTAATCGGCAGCGTCCAGCGCAACACGAAGCAGCAAAGGTTGTGCAAAGAAGAACGTGCTTGCCGTCGAGACTGACCCAGCGACTAGTGGGAGAGGAAGAAGGCAGTACTAATATATAGTGATTCTGGGAAACGTTAGTATTCACCGTCACAGACAGCACACCACTCGTTGATCTAATGAATGAAATAAAACCCAACTGTTGTTATTCGATGATGATGTGAGAACAGTAAGGAGACAAGAAAACATAGAAACAAAAGAGGAAAGGAGGAGGTGCAAAAGATAGTGAAGAGGGAGAACGGGAGATCCTTCAGCAACGCAGCACATAACCGCGCGAGAGGCTCTGTTGGCCCAGAAACGAGAACAGTCGAAGCAATTGTCGCCAACGTGACGATCCCGCAAGCGAAATAACAAAAGAACAATTTCCATGCAGCAGCAGCAGCAGCAACAGTGAAGGCGAAAAACACCGCATATGATGCCGCTAGAGAAGAATACGACCTACCTTTTCTAAACACTGAGAGCAGTTTCAATGCTTCTTATGAGCAGCAGCAACAAACAAACAAAACTGCATTCGTTCTCTGGAGTTTCGGCTTCAAAAGTACAGAAAGGCCGGAACTGCGGTGTAGTCCGACGGGTCCACAGCAGCGTAGAGCAGCTCACCGCCTGCCTCTTCATCCCGGCTCAGCGACTCCATTGCGTGCTGCCCTGCCACTTCCACCACCGAGAGAGGCGACGCACGGCTTACATCATCAGCAGCATCATCATCATCTTCTTCTTTTTGCATATTCTCTTCCGCTGCTCGAGCGTGACCGTTGCAGACGCTGAGCTGAAGCGTCACCGCGAGAGGAGCACACAGCGGACACTTCAACACCTCCAGCTGCCAACACGCCCCGCCGGCTTTGGTGGAAAAGGAAAGCGTAGACGCGTCGAAGGTGACGGCGTTCGTGCCGGCACGGTGCACCGCCCGAAGCTGCAGACGCACGTTGACGCTGTGAAAGAACAGTCGGCCTAGCTTTCCCACATCGGGGCTGCTGGGCGAGTCGCTTTCGATTCCGTACGTCGACCAAACTTTGCCGTTGGAACCCAAAGGAGAAGACGCAGAGGAGCTGCCCTTGCTGGGTGCGTCGCCGCCAAATCCCTGAAGCTCATCGTCGTTGCTGTAGCCACCATCGCAGAAAGGCGAGGAGCGCAGCGCGTGCTGCTGAGACAGCACCAACACCGCGACTTGTCGATCCTCTGCAACTCGCTTCAACGTCTGCATAACGCTGGCCAGTGTGTCGTGCCGGTGCAGCGCATCCTGCGCCGAGTAGCTGAAGCTTCTACGCGCGAGCTCGGTGATGCTGTCGAGCACCACGAGCCCCACCGTCCGCAGCGACGAAGCGTCGTCTAACCACAGCTGCAGGAGATCCTGGAGAGCGTCCAGATCGGGTAGACACGCCACGTGCACCGCATCTTGTAAGCCGTTCTCTCGTGCTTCCATCGATGTGTTCGCACGGCGTGGTGAGGCCTTTACGTCAGCGGCGATGGACAGCACTGCTGCTTCGACGGTGGAGTGCGACTGCAGCCACACACAATCGTATATGCCAGCAGAGGCGTGCGCTGCCTCGCTGACGCAATGACGGCACCACGCCGCCGCCAACGTCGTCTTGCCGCTGTTTGCCAGACCCGTCAGCTCCGTAATCCACCCCCTCCGCAGACCACCGAGCAGCGCAGCGTCGAGGGTGGCGAGGCCGGTGGGAAGCGAGGCTGTGCACCTCTTATCTTGTACGATGGCCGAAGGGTGCTCCCCGCCCGGTGGCTGCGTTCTTTCGCTCGAATTGCCATCGCCAGTGTCGACGGCACGACGCTTCGCATCCCGGAAGAGAGGGCTACAGCGGCGACTCACCTCAGCTCTCCATCGCCACACGGTGCTGAGAGAGACCCGAAAGAGGCCGCACAGCTGCGCGTCTGGCACGGTGAGGAGGGCGGCGTCGTGTGGCAGCGAACCACCGTGTGCCGCCGAGGTGAAGGTGGAGACATCGCCGTGAAGAGGAGGAGCGCGGGTTGCACCTCGCAGGGCATACAACGGAGGGGCGCTCATGTATGCTGCTTATGTTCGCTGCGACGCACAACACCGACAAAACAAAACAAAAACACAGTAAAGCGAGTAAACAGTATAATATAATCAGTAGACAAAAGTTGTAGATGCACGAGAGAAGTGATGGGACCGAAAACAGCAAGCCAGCCAGTGCAGCGCTGGAGGGCGGAATTCCGTTAAAGATGCCGGAGCGCACTCCTCTCCCTTTTCTCGTACACAACGGCGGTTTGCGCAGGAGGGTTTTCCTTTGCTCCACAACCCTCGTGGCCACGACAAGAACTTCTTGCCTCACTGAATCACCCTTCAATGCACACACACACATATATGTATCGCATAAGGACTGTCTTACTAAGATACGTCATGTTTTTTCTGCTGTTCCCAAGTCGTGCTTCAACAAGAGAAAAAAAAAGCAGCTGCTACTTTCCTGTTTAGGACGGACACGAACTCCGCTGCGCGACCACACACACGCGGAGAGGTGGAGGGGACCCAAAGAAGACCTACAATTCGCTACTTGAAAGGAAAAAGAAGAAGAACATCATCTGCAGAGAGTTCAATTGAGGCAACATCTTGCGGTACCAGCCATTCCCCAGAATCCCTGATGTCGTGAAGGTCGATAACAACCTCCCGGGGCCGCATCACAACCGTAATAACGGCAAAAACACTTCCTCTTCATTGTTTACGGCTTGCCCTGCATGCTGGCGTACGTCTCGTTCATCGCCTTCGCCAGCGCCACGTCCTTCTCGGTCACCTTGTTACCAGCGTCGTGCGTGCAGAGCTTCACGCTGAGGCGGTTGTACGTGTTTTCCCAGCACGGGTGATGCTGCATCTTCTCGCACACCGGCGCCATCGCATTCATAAATTTAAGCGCTGCGAGGAAATCAGGAAAGGCGTAGTCGCGCTGGATGTTGTGCGAGGTGTTGCCGTCCACACGCCAGCCGGGTAGCGACTGCAGTGCCTGCGTGACGGCGAAGATCGGCATGGCGCGTGGTGCGCAGCGCGGAGCTGTGCGGAACATCACTTTATTGTTATTCGTCAACTATTTGTTTGACTGTAAAGAGATGAGTAATTAAAGGCGTTTGATAGCCGTTTTGGGGTTTTTCCTTTCCGAGAGTACCGAGAAGGGTCAGTGCGGTGCGTGTGTGCTAGGGCGTGCCCTGCAGCAAAACGGAAGAGCGAGACTCCAAAGGGAGAGGGAAAGGGCGAGGAGACACGGATTGGTGCCGTCTGCGTGGCGAGCCGTAATCACAATAAGTAAAAGAGCGCCGCTCTCCCTACTGCCAGCACCAGCACGGCGGAGGGGAGAGTACAGAGGTGCGTCGAGGGGTCGAGCGTGACGGGGGACAGCACCAAACGGCTGAGTGGGGCACACAAGAGCCCCCCCCCTCCCCCACGCACACACAAGGGCTGAGAGTAAACCCCTGCCCTGTCGCGGTGTGCCCAGGCTTTTCTTTTTCCTTTACACATGCCCCTCACGCGACACGAAGAGCGGAGGTTCTGCCGAGACGCACACACACACACACACACGCACGCTAGCTCGCTTCCTCGACAGTGCGCTAAAGCGATGGCTCTCCGCCTGCGTCTCGATTCTCGTCCGCATGATGCTGCGCCGCTTCAGCCTCCGCCAGCTTCGCTATGATGATGCGCCGCTCCGCTTCCAAATCACTGGCCAGCTGTCGCAACTCGCGGCGCTCCTCCTCCAGGTCTTGCATCCGTTGGTCAATATATTGAAGAAGAGACTGCCGTTGCGCGTCCTGCGGCGGAGAGGCAAGCGCGTTGGGTGACGTGGTGAGATTTGATGGTTGCGGCATTTGAGGAGAGCGTGTTGTGCTGCGCTGCTAGTCCCCCACTTCATGTAATCAGCGCGGGGAGATTGGGGAGGAAGGGGAGGAGGATGAGAGGTGGTGCGAAGAAACAAAGCAGGCAAACCGAAAAAACAAATTTTCTTTATTCCGATTAAAGAAGAAAACGAAAAACACGATAACGTCTTCATTCACGTTGTCGCTCCACTCAACGCCGATGGGGCCGGCGGGGGCGCGAGTCAACACCTCTGTCTTGCGCAAGGTGACGCTCTAGCACAGACTTCTTCCGTGCTTGTCTTCTTTCCTTTTGCATGGGGATTACTTTTAGAGCGCGCCGTGACGCACGAATAGGGGAGCAGGCAGCAGCTGAAAAGAACAACAAGAACAACAAGCAGCACTTCCTTCGAACCGCAAAGCCATTTAAAGATGCACTACGACATCACGTGTGCGCGTCCCATCGTATGAAAGAGCCAGCATAACAGCCGGAGGAAGATCTACTTCTCGTAGTCCCCTAGTCCCACCGCCACACACGGAATGTGTGTGATCGGCGCCGTCAGCTCTAAACCAAAGGAATGAGGAAAACCATTGCTGGGCGTTCGGACGTCCATTACCGCACCGGAGGCCCCGAGCACGGCCTCGGCCTAAAAACGTTGATTTAAAAGCGGACGGTCGTCCGGCGCATCGAACAGCACGACGGCCCCCGCCACTTCGCTGTACTTCGCTTTCCCGAAGTGGGCAACGGGCGGAGGCACGGCCGCGTCATGGCGCGCTGAGGTGAGTACACGACGATAGTGCCGCCCTGACCAGCCAGCGGGGCCGCAGGGCAACCACACGCTCTTCACACCGTTTTACAGGGTGAATGGACGAAGAGTTTGTATTGTAGCCGCAAAGAGCGATGTGTCGCAGCAGCAGCAGCAGCAGCGTGTAAAGGACTTCGAGAAACCTTCCCGTTGACCGCCTCGTATGGGTCTACAATCGGCCATCATCAGCGAACCGTCTGCGCCTGGAGTTGTGAACGCAATTCTTCTTCCATCGGCTACTTGAACCACTTAAATCATCAAGAGACAACGGATGTGGGATGCAAGTGGCGAGATCGGTGAAGGAAAGGGAGAACAGATAAACGGGAGAGTAAAGGAGCAGACGACGGAAGAAGAGAGAGAGGGGAGACGAGCCGATTTCGTTGTATGAAGAAGAGAGCAACACAACGCGTCTTCGGTTCAAGTGAGGTGATGCTGCTGCATGACAGGCGCTGGTGAAAGCTGCCCGATGATGCGCGGCAACGCGAGAGAGAAGATGGAGAAGACAACGACACATTCACAACGCATATCTTTCTTTTTATTTCTACGGCTCCTACTTTTAGGGGCGCGCAGCGTGCGCCGAAATAGCATGCGAGTTAACGTGACGAGGCGATACAGGAAAATACATCTCTCCATAGAAGCAATACAAACAAAATCAAAACATCAGAAAAGGCATGGATGAACATAAATCGTCATCACGAAGAGGGCAACAGACGCGTCCTGCAGTGAAGCATTCTCAGATGCGCACTTATATAGGCATGCACGTTAATACATGCGCGACGCGCGATTACGACGGCATCCAAAGACTCACCACCCCGGCACACACGAAGAGAGAGGGGAAAAAGGTTACGGTGTCACCAGACAGCGCGGAGACATCCACTAAAAACAGTAATAAAATACTGTAGAGAAGCGAAGAAAACTGGTGCACCGGGGTAAGGAAAATACACCTCTGAGAGGCCCCGCAGAAGAAGTTTTATGCCGTAGAGAAGAGAGGCGGGACATCGTCGAGGGTTTTCGAACCGCCTAACCCATCTCACACACACACACACACACGCATACACATACTCAAAACTAGATCGAACGCGTAGGAAGCTCAAGAAACTGTCTGAACATCAACGGGCTTTGCAGAGCAAGTAAGTCCTAACGCCCGACGAAGAAGCGCAGCAGCAAAGTGAGTGTTTTATTTTGAATTAGCGGTACATTGTGAAGAGGAGCTTGCGAGTTCGACAAGGATCGTCCGTCAAATCAGCCCACGCCTGACGGACCTCCTTCACAGAGGCCACACCAAATGTGTTTCCCTTCTTTACTTCCGTTTCCAAAAAAAAAAAATAATAAAAATGATAATATCAAAAACAGCAAAGGAGAAGGTTTCGACCACCGAAGGATACAAAAGAGACACACCAACAAATAGGCAAACACCAGAACGTGGTGAGCTGCCCCGTACCGATTCAAAAGGAGGAAACGAATGCCCATAAACAGAGACGCGTAATCCCTCCGCAAATCTTGTGCCTTTGTCTTTCCTTTTGATCTCCTCCGCCCCCCGCTGTTAACGCGCCGTTCACTACACCTTCTCCTTGCCTTTAATTTTGCGAAGGTTCTCCCACATGTAGTGCGACTCATCCACCACCTTCATCGCGTACGACTTGTCCTTGTACTCACCGTTGAAGGCGAATTTGTTCTCGACCCCGCCTTGGCAGATCTTGTACACACGGAACCACTCGCGCAACGCATCGAGGCAGCCGGGGAGAAACTTGGGCACATCATCGATGTCTTTCATAAAGCGCGAGATCGGGTCGTTCACGGAGATGCAGATCACCTTCCAGTCCATCTGACCATCGTCGATCATGCCTAGCACGCCGAGGATCTTCACGGGGTGGATTTCGCCGACACGCAGCTGGCGCATACCGATCTCGACACCATCAATCGGGTCGTTGTCGCCGCTCACGCCGTCTTCAAAGATGACCTCAGTGCTCTCCCACGTCTGCGGGAAGGCGCCATAGTTCCACATCATATCACCGTGTTTGTAGAAGCGCGGGACACCGTTTTTGATGTCCTGCTTGATCGGGTTGAACGGTTCGCCGGTGGCGATCTCGAACTTCGCGCGGGTCCACTTGGGAATTTCGCACACGAAGTTGTATCGGTTCGCGCGGATGTGCTCCGGCTTCGTGCGCACGGGATCCCGCACGTAGAGGGGGACGTCGTGCCAGGGACTGACCTGACGTCGGTAGCCGTTCTCGAGGTCCTTGAAGTAGTACTTGACGCGGTAGCTGGGAGTGAAGATCTCGCCTTCCTCCTTCACCTTCAGCTGCTGCTGGTGGTAGGGGACGGAGAAGTCGGCCGAGACGAGGGAGAAGGTTTCCTTCGTCATCTTCGTGTTAGGGTGCGAAACCCACCAGTTCCAGAACACCTCAAAGGTGATGTTATCATCGATGCTCTTCAGGTCCGCCAGCATATTTTCACTCTGTTCAAAGGTCATGTTGCGACCGGCGTAGGCGCAGAACTCCTTCACCTTCGCCGAGTCGAGGTAGCCGAGCTGGGTCACGTCGAAGGCGGAGAACATGCGGCTCATGATGCTCTTCTGCAGTGTGTGTGTGTGATCCTCCTTCGAGTAGGCCACGAGATCGAACTCGGTCACCGCGTCCTTGTCCGCGTCGACCTCGCCGTCCGTCTTTGCGTCTTCGTGGGCCGCCAGATCGTTGGTGGAGCCGTGCGCGCTGAGCCCGGTGCCAAACTGCCGCACCTGCGGCGTGATGTACTTCACCTCCTGCAGCGTCGGCGACATTGGATTGGCGTCCGACGTGACGCTCTCCCACGCCCCGTACGAGTGCACGTCCGGGTTCATGGAGGAGCCGAGGTTCGCGGCGGGCGCGCGACTTACGGCGAAGACCTTGGGCGATGGCTTCACAGTGCGGGGCTGCGGGTTCGCGTGACGCGGCGCCTGCTCGGCAAAGCCGTCGGAATCGTTTTTCATGATGGGCGTCAACAGATAATAATAAAGAGGATCACCCACAGGTAGTGTATATATATGTGTATGTGTATGTGTACGTGCGATGGGAAGCAAAACACGGCAGCTACTTTTTTTATTATTTCTTTGAAGAATGAACTAGGCGAGATTGTCCTAGACGAAGAGGTTCTCCGCAAAAATGGAAGTGCCGAAAAGGGCGGCGGCGCGCAGCGGAACTACTAAAACTGTACGGTGAGGCACTTCTAACTACACGACACAGGATACGGGCCGATGACACTACGAGATGAAAAAAAAAAGGTTTACATAAAACTTGCCTACATCGCCGTTACATCAAGATAACAGCACTGAGCGTTGGTGATTATCAATGGAAACAGTGTAAAGAAAAACTCTAGCAAACAGCGACTAATAGCACAGGACGCGAAATGAGTTGGCAGGGGCGAGACACATCGGAACTAAAAATTACGTTTGAGGTGTGGTGTCCAGGTGATCGGTTTTGGTTGTGAGAGGGGAGTAAGGCCATGCAAGTCCGCAGATGCGCCAACGCGGACACCAGAAGACAGCGTGTAAGACAGAGAGAGACAGAGAGAGAGAGAAAATGAAAAGAAAAGGCGGGAGTGAGGAGATCGGCGTAAAGGAACAATAAGGGCGACCAAGACAACCAAAACGACTCATGTTGCAGTTGGAAAGCAGCGGAGGCGCTCTTTCTTTCCAATGGAAGATGACACTTCTTTTTTTTCACTTTCACAGAAAGGTGCTTGATGGCTTCATTAGTGTTGTTCCGGTCAGCAGTTGCTTTGCAGCACCACAGGAAATCTAATCGCAGGTTTTGATCCACCGCGATAGCAGAATCTCTTCTCGTGCGCTCCATGTGTATGCACACACACACATACTCGCACATACAAAGTGTGTCTCTTCTTTTTTTTCCCTCTTTCCTCTTCCTACAAGCGAACGTGTTGACGCGCCACACCCAATACGCCCTCCATTTTCGCGACGCACTGTTGTCGCTCGGCCACCTCGCGGCGCAGCGCGTTCAGCAAAACGAGGCGACTTGACTGCGCTAGCTTCGAACGTATGCCGTGCTGCAGCGCCGCGATGGTGCTCTCCAGCTCCGCCGTAAGCCGCTCCACCTCTCGTTCTCGGGCATCGTGTACAGAGTTAGTCGTAGTGGACGTTGGTTGCTGCTCTCGCTGATCTCGCTGCTGCGTGTAGGCGTCTTCTGCCAACTCCAGCAGTGTGCTGTACTGCTGTTGAAGGTCGTGAACCAGCTTCAGGAGGTCCGCCGTCGAGGCCACGGCCGCGTTCGTGGAAGGGGAAAGCGGCTCATTTCGAGGGACATGGGGAGCGCTCGTTGTGCGTGGCCGCCGCTGCTGCTGCTGCGGCTCCTGCGGCGTTGCGCCCGTGAGCTCCTCCACGGTGAGTACAAGCTGGCGCAGACTCACCGGCATTGCCGGTTGTGATGGGCCGGCAGCGGAAGAAGAAGAAGCAGCTGCAGCGGCGGAGTATGCCATGACTGAGCTCCGCGAGGGAGGAGAGGGAGGTGAATGAGAATAGCCCTTGCTTTTCCTCAAACCGTTTTCTATGCAGGCGGGCCAAAGTTGAGGCGGCGTTGTCGAAGGCAAAAGGAGGAGGAGAGGAAAGAGAGCAAGAAAAGAGGCGGCATGCACGGTGGAAGGTCGCAAATAAATATATAGATATATATACATCTACGAGTTGGCTGAGCGCATGTGGAGGACGTGCGAGGGGTGCTGCATCGTTGGCGCGCTCCATCTTGCCGTGAAGCGCAGCGACATGCGCTTTGCGCTGTGTCTCTTTTGGGAGGCTTTATCGCACTCAGGACACTGAAGGGAAGAAATGTTTTAACACGAAAACGTCAACACATGTTTTGGCAGCAGCGTACATGTTTGGTGCCGGAGGAGGTTTCACTCGAACACTCCGGACAAGAATCAAAAGGCAAGAGGCTGCTGCTCTCCTCCACATCGCTCTATGTTTTCTTTATCAGCCGTGTCCAGCGGCGGGGGTGCATCCACGAGAGACTCGTCCCCCCTTCTCTGTTCCGCTGCAGTCGCCGCTCGAGCCCGTCAACCACCTTTTGCGTGTTGCGGAGGTCGTTGCCGGCCACCACGATCGTCTTAATGCGCTTGTTGTGCTTGATGGCCCGCTTGATTTCCGCCATGCCGGCCTCCGTGATGCTGTTGAAGGAGATGTCGAGCGCTTCGAGGGTGCAGCACATCGCCCCGTGGCCCTCTCGATCTTTTCGGCTGAAGAAGTTGGAGGGGCCGCGTCGCCCCCCTCCGCCACCGCGGCCCGCTTTCAGAATGAGGGCGAGCGCGTGGGCGTCGTGATCCGTCAGCGCGCAGTGCGAGCACACAAGCTCACGAATGCGATAAAGACGCGCGCCAGGCGTAAACAGCAGGGGCGCCACGTAGGTCAAGGCCAGGCTGCGCTCTGCCACGCTCTTCTTCACCGCCGCCGCCGTCTCTGCGCGTCGCAGACTTTCGTCGGGGTAGAAGCGGGTGGTGGCGGTGGCGGTGCCCGGCGGCGGGGTGACTTCGCTGCCGTTTTCATCGAAGAGCAGCGGTGGACCGTCCAACGTGACCTTGCCGAGCTGCGTGTGGCTCAAGTCCACCGCCGCGACACAGTCCACCATGGACCGGGCGGGGTCGGTGCGCTTCGTCAGAATAGCCTGGACGAGCGCCACCATCAGCGGCGGCGAGGTGACGTACGTGGCGTCGCAGCGCACCCCGCGTAGCCGGTGTTGCACCTCCTCGGCGATCGAGGGCGCCGGGAGGGTGCGACCCACGTCGGACAGCATCGCCTCCCCGGCGGCGGTGCCCCACAGCAGCACCTCCATCAAACCCTGCTTCGCATTCCCTTTCAGCTCCTCCGGTTTTCCTGGTGCGTTGGTCGACGCGAAGACATCATCGCCACTGCCGACGGCGTCTTCGGTTTTGTGGCGCCGCACGTAGGGTGCGAAGGTGACTTCGACCGTCCCAGCAGGCTCGTGGCGAGGAGAAGGCGACGCATCCGTGGTGCCATAGTGGACGGTGACGGCGGTGGTGGGGTAGACGCAGCGAGTGCTGGTGTGGCGGTAGTAGGGTGGGATGAAGGTGTCGATGGGCGCCGCAGCCACAGCGGCTTCTGCGTTCCAGTCTGTGCTATTTGCAGTGAGTTGCATGTCAACGGCTCATTACGGCTACGCTCTTGTTCTGACAAGTGTGTATCGGCGAGCTCGATGCGGAAAGAAAACAGACGCAGACCCCAAAGTGGTGTGACGTGTCAGATCGCTGAGGAGCAGCAGCGGGGATCAGACGGCAAGCGCACGCAAAAAACCTCGCGGTGGAGCAAGGAAAGCGAGCGAGGTCGGTGAAGCCGCTCGTTGCGCAGACACGCCGTCAACGCAGCAACAACTGAATGGGCGGTGCCTTGCTGGTGCACTCGACTATAAAGGAAAGAGAAAGAGCGAAGAGCGAAGGAGGATAGGCAGCGCAAGCGTAGGAGGTAAAGTACTCACGATGCGGCTTCATTTCGCGCCGCAATCCAGAGCTTCGATTCGGGAATTGGCAGATGCTGGGAAATACGCCGTCCCCCCCCCTCCTCCCAAACCATACACAGCACAAAGGCAAGCCCTCTTCAAACACATTTTTAGACTTTATGCAGAGCTGACGTGTCAGAGTTACGTGGAGCAACGAACACGCCTTAGTTGTGAAGAAAACAGACACTCAAACTCAGAAGAGCGCGAAGGAGCAGCGTACGCGGGCCACCGTTCCTCTCTCCCTCTCCCCCTTCACACAAAACGACAGGCATCTTCTACCTCTCAGAATCCGCCGTCAAGTTGACCGTCGCGTCCCCCTCCACGAGTCGGCCGCCGTCGCCTTCCTTGGTGGAGCTGCTCTTTCCAGCTACGAGGTCCTCAATGGCGCTCATGCGGCTCGGGTGAAACGGCAGTTCGAGCGAGCTGCACACCTGCTGCACCTGACGGCCGGAGGACGGTGGGTACAACACCATCACGTCCCCGTCGGCGCCCATGCGACCGGTGCGGCCCGCGCAGTGGACAAACGATGCCGCCGACGGACACGCACCATACAAGATGACATGGGTGATGCTGTTCACGTGCAGCCCCCGACTGCTGTGGAAGCTGCCGACGCCGACAATGAGTTTGCCCTCGCTCAGCTGCGAGAGGGAGCTGTTGTTCTTGACGTAGACGTCGCCGCGCTGCGCGATCACTTGATGCGACCGCACATCCGCGTACGCACCGGCGGAGGTAGAAGAAGAGGAAACACGAGAGGTGGGCGCCGTGGTGTGGTGTGCGCGCTTCTCCCCTCCCCTACTTCCTTTGCTCGTGGTGGCCTCCGTCGGGAGGGCGTGCAGCGGAGCAGCAAAACGGCGGGTCGGTGTGAGGGCACCCGGCGCTGCAACCCGAACGTCCTCCGTCACCGCAGGGGAGTTCAACAGCGCACAAACTTCTTCGATGTTGGCGTCTTCGCAGAACAGCAGCACACGCGCATCGGGACGCTGCTGGCAGATAAGCTGCAGCGACAGCACCAAACAGCGCGCCAGCGGGTACGCCTTGGTCTCCCCGAAGAAATAAAACTGGATGGTCGGGGGGATGGTGTGCTCGGCGAAGCTCGTTGTGAGTCGCACCGTGTGGTCGTTGCGGGTCCACGTGTTGAGGGTCTGCGCCGTCACGCCGTCCACCGTGGCGCTCGCCGCAACGAGCTGCGCCGGCACCTCCTCGCGCCTATTGCGAAAAAGGCGGTCGACCAAGTTGGCGCCGCTGAGGCGTTGGCGGCCGTAGAGCACCGTGGCGTGCAGTATCATGTCCGCCTCATCCAGCACCACGCAGTCCACCTTGCGCCGCAGCTTCTCCCCGACAATCGCGGGGCTCATGCGCATGATGTCCGCGATGCGCTGCGGCGTGCCCACGAGGACGTGGGGTTGGATGTTGTGCAGCTTCGCCAGCTGCGTTTCGAGCGGGATGCTCTCGATCGCCGCCTGCACCACCTGTGCCGTGCACCCACAGAAGTGCCGCAGCCACTTGTCGTACTGCAGGGCGAGCTCCTCTGTTGGCACGAACACGACAGTGTGCAGGCGGTAGTTGAGCTGATCTCGAATAACGCGATTCGCAATGGCGAGGGCGATGCCAAAGCTTTTGCCGGTGCCGGTCTCGGAGTGGGCGATGACGTGCTTGCCCTTCAGCAGCAGCGGCACAAGTGCCCCTTGCAACTCCGTCAAGCGATGAATGCGCAGTCGGTGTAAGGCGAGCACGAGTGGCACCGTCAGCCCCGCGGCCCGCGGCGACGTCTGTGCGTAGTACAGCGGGTGTGCCTCGTTCAAGTTCCCAATGGAGGCGTGGTGGGACGAGCTCAGCATCTGGGCCGCACCGAGCCTCAGCTGTATCAGCTGGTGCTGCTGCGACACCCCCCGACCCGCCGACGAGGCCGCGTTGCCGGCGTTCTTCATGTAGAAGTAACGCTGCGACACAGGGAGGTTCGCCGCGTGCTTGGCGCCGCCGTCTTGCTGGAGGTAGGCGTCGAGCAGCGTGGCGGCGGACCCGCCGTACTCGGCGCGCACCCCATTCAGGTATTTGAGAAGCCGCCGCCTGGATGGCTGCAGCATGGTTTAAAAGCGCCGCGGTGACGTAGTAAATCAACAATAATAATAATAATAATAAAAGAAGAAGAAGCGGAGCTGCAATTCAAGGACGAGAACGGCGCTGAGACTCCACAACGTAGAGGCTGTGCGCATGGGGGAGGGTGTTGATGATACCAAGGAAACGGCAGAAAAGGCGTATAGGAAGAATATAGCACAAGAAGGGAGAAGGGTTGTGAGTTCTGGGCATCCTACGCCAATAAAGAGGAGGTCTACAAGTCGTACAGACAACGCCCCTCATCTCTCGCCATTACAATGACACAATCCGCACCGACAGCATTCTCATCGTTTGACGGCGGCGACAGCTGGCCGTCTGGTAGAGAATAATCTGCCGCATTGATCCCAGCTAGGACGTGTGTCTCGCTGCACAATTGCTCCACCTTCGTCAATTCTTCTTTCAGATATCATCGTTTCACAGACTGTTAACAACAGCAACACCGACTCATAAAGCGCTGTCGAGAAAAAACTCTTGCACGTGCACGGCATGCCAAATACACAAACCGAACACTTGCAGCTGATGGATGTAGGCGAAACAGCAACACGTGCCTTGTGCAAGACGTCTCGGAAGTGATGCCCTCTTCTACCTCCGCTTCTTTTGTTTGACGGTGATGAGCAGGGGAAGCCGCACCGCAGGCACAGCGCCGCTTCACCACATGACGTTTACACGTTGATGTGCGAGGAGCTGAGAATCGGATTCATCCACAGACCGTCCCCGAGGTGGTGGACGTTCTCGATACAGGGCCCTTTGTTGACCTGCTTGATCTCCTCCGAAGACATCAGCATGATGCCGACGGCACACGCGTGCTGCTTGCCTTGTACGTAAATCCCGACCACGTCCTCCTCCTCGGCGTCTTCGGCTACTTCTCCACCCTCCGACGTCACCCCCGGGCACATCACGTTGGCGCCGGAGATGACGTACCGGCAGCCGCCGATGTCCACCTGAAAGTTCTTGCTCAGTATAAAGGGGTACTTATGCAGTAGCTTTAAGTGCGGCATATAGGGACCGTCGTGGTGATTGAAGAACAGCACCTCCGGCTGCGAACTGACAAGCGTGATGCAGTGCACTTGGCCCTGGCACCGAATGATGTAGATGTCAGATTTCTTTGGCAGGATGTCTTCCCAGTACTTCTCCAGCGCGGGGAACTGCTCGTACAGCTTCTCCCGCACCTCCTTTTGCTCCTTTTGACTGCTGCTGGCGATCTGCGCCACGTTCTCCAACGTGAACTTCTTGAAAAGATCGGCCGAGGTCATCTTAATAATGTGTCTTCGTCGTCGTCGTCGTTGAGGTGACGGTGGAGGTGGTGAAGTTATCAAGGAAGAACAAGTGCAAAACAGCAAGGGCAACTTTGCTCGATGGGGAAAGAGGTGATGTAGCTGAGACGTGCCGCGTTGTGCCACGGTGTCCCGAGCGAACGTCGAGAAAAGAGCAGGAAAAAAAGGCAAGGACTTGTTATAGACAAGTGAGAAGGAGCAGCAGCATATTCAGGAATGCGGATGCAGGTTTTATTTTTCATAGGTGTAATTTCTGCCAGTACCCAGCGGAAGCGTGGAGACAGAAAAGAATGGAGAGCCTTTTCTCCTGTACGTTGCCGCAGCACGTCTCTCGTACCTCAGGCTGGGAGTTGTGGTGGGATGAAGAGTGCCAAAGGAGATGGATAGTAATCTTTTCCACTTCTATGGGAGTCTTGATGTCGCAGCGGGCAGCCACACGAATGAGTCACGGCTTTTTTGTGGGCTTGAACTAATTCCGCGCTTTGGCGCGCTCCGCAGCGGCGTCCTCGGCCAGCAGGGCCTCCAGTTCCCTCTGCGTGTTCCGCAGCATCAGCGACGACGCGCGGGTGCTGCCGCCGCTCGCATCTGACCGCATCGACGAGTGCAGGCTGAGCGTGCGATGTGGCGAGAGGCCGCCTGGCAAAGGAGAGGCCGTGGGTGGGCTGCTGGACTGCGGCGCCGTCAGCGCAGGGTACACCGGCGGCGTCGTGATGGGCTTGGCGTACGGCGGGGCGTGGAAGGAAGAGTTTACCTTCGAGATCGACGTCGGTGCCGCCGCCGCCGCCGCTGTGAAGATTGCGGTGGGTTGACCATCACCACTGCCGCCGTTGTGGCGCACGGAGTCATCCGAGGAACTCCGGTAGGAGTCCGGCGGAGAAATGGAACTGCTGCTGGTGGGTGGGTGGAGGTCCGCATCCGGCGGCTGGCCATCGTCGTCCACCTCGGAGTGCAACTCGGCATCCTTCGGAGGGACCACGCCGGTGCGCGCGCTCGCTTTGGCTGGCGTGGAGGACGTGCTGGACGCCGTGGAGGCGCCGTGCTCACTGGCGTTGGGTGTGCGGAGGATATCCGACGAGAAGGTGGGCAGCAGCGACACCCGGGAGTTTCCGTTACTGCTGCGCACGGCGCCGGAGGTGCTGCGGTGTTGCTGCGGGCTGCCCGTCTCCGACCGCGCCTCCGGCTGCGGCGAGTTAAAGAGGGAGGGCGGCTGCGACCCGCGGTAGACGGATACGACGGGACTGCTGTCGTCGCGAGAACGGAAGAGGCTGCCGAAGCTGTAGCCCGCATCTCGTGGACTGCTCGCTGCCGCAGGGACGGCAGTTTGGGGGAGACTTCCAGCTGCGAGAGCGGGCCCCTTGAGTTTCTTTGTCGCATCGGTTAGATCAGCAAACTTGAGCGGCGAAGATGAAGTGAGGTGAGGGGGTGAGGTTGGCGAAGGCGGTGTGGCGGGGTGCTCCGATTGGGGTTGCGTATTGCGGGATACGTCCTCTCGCTTGGCTTCTACGTTTGCGATAGAAGGCGCGGACAGCGGAGGGGACATCGCTGGAGATGGAGGGGAAGGAGAGGCGGCGGCTGGAGGAGGAGCGAGGGGCACCGAGCGAAGAACATCACGCACGTCCTTCACAAACCGCTGCTGCGCGGCTGTCAGTTCTTGGATGCGTTGCTGCGTCGTTGCTGCGACGAAATCACGGGTCTGCGCCGCCGTACCGCGTGCGTACTCTCCCACCTCTCCAGCAACGGCGGCCGTGAAGCCCGAAAAGAGCGCCTGCAGCGGATCGCAAAAGTCATGGCGGAGACCGCTGTCCGAGGGCGCCGGCAACGCTGGTGGCGACGGGGCGGCAGCAGCAGTAGCAGCAACGGGAGCCGGACCAGAAGGCGAAGCAATGGCGGACACAGGCATTTGCGTTGCAGCAGGGGCGGCAGGCCACACAGGTGTGTGCTTCTCTTCATGAATGATGTAGCGGACCAAGGTGCGCCAGTCCACGCAGGGAGAGGGAAAGATGCCCTCCGCCCCCCGCCCATCGCTGTAGGGGTGCGCACGGCGACGGCGATCGCCACGCCGGGCTTCTTCCCAGACAAACTCCGCTTCTGCGTTCATCGTGCTGTCGTCGGTGAGGGACGTCGCCGTGTCGGAGACGGTATCCGACTCGGCCAGCGTAGAAGACGCCTTTTGCCTACCCGGACGCACCCCACCTGGTATGCTGTGCGCTCCTGATCGGCGCCGACGGTGCCTGTGCGTCGGACAGCGCAGGGCCTCACGTGCATCCTGCGGCCGCTGCACCGCGTTGGGCGGCATGGAAGACGCTGCCGGGCAGCGCAACTGCGCGCTCTCCGCGAAGGCCTTCTCCATCTTCTCCACGAGCAGGGAGGTGCGCTCGCGTTCCTGCTTGAGCTGTCGCTCCTGCATCTTGACGGTCGTCTCCAGCTGCACCAATGCAGTCCGCAAGTTCGCCGTGCCCAACGACAGCGTATCTCGCTCACCGACCAGCGTCTGCACCTCTCTCTCCAGCGCCCGACATCGAGACTCGAAGTGGTCCAGCTGCCGCGCCGAGACTCGCTTTGCAACCTGCGACGACTGCAGCTCCAACAGCTTCTCTTTGAGAATGTTCTGCGACCACAACGCGAATTGCAGACAGGCCTGCAGCACCTCGACGAGCTGCAGAAGGTCTGCGTCGTTGTGCTCGCGTATTTCCGTTAAGGACACGTCGCAGTCGGCGAGACCGGCGATGAGGTTGGCCATCAACGGGAGGTCCGGTGACTCGTGGCGCAGCTCGGGGATGCACACGTGCCGGACGTGTGCCCAGGGCAACGGGCGGTGCACCGAGGTCACGTACCGGTATTGGCAGAGGTCGTGCACAACGGAGGTCATTTCAGAAGAACCGAACGTTGCTGTTTGAAAATACAAAAAGCAGATCTATCTGTTCTGGTGCTCTGCTGTGGTGCACCAAGTCTATGGTATTTGAGTATCGATGCACGCGTGTGTGCGTGCTTGGAGGTGCGTGCAGGCGAGGCCGCCGCTCAGCTTTTCGTGTGTTTTTCTTTATCGCACTGCGGACGAGAAGGGGGTTGAGAAAGGGCTGAGGGTGTAAAGCACATAACTGAAGGTCGAGCGTGCGAGCGCAGATGGAGCTACGCCACGACGAGAAAGGAGAGAAAGAAGATGGCTGCATCACGACTCGCGTTCGTGCATGTCTTTTGAGCAAGACCAACGAGTGCCAGTTATGCCGCAGCGAATAGAAAAGCCTCGACGTGACTGTCCCTTTGGCTAAAGATGCAGAAAGGTAAAACCAGTGTTGTGTACAGCACGGAACGCACGTTGCTGCGTGCGAAAACGTCTCTCTTCCAAAAAAAAAGATCGGCAGAACATCGTGCGACACGGTCAGCCGCCGACCAACACAGAAGTCAAGCTGCAAAAGTAGTTGAGGCTCGTTCGTGCGGCGACGCAATGACTGCTGAGTGTACTTGCGGACGCAGCTGTAGAACACAGTCGGGACTGCGGCAACCTTTGCTGCGCCGAACAAGAAAGCAATTTGAGATGCTTTGAGGCGTCACTTCTGCTGCTGATCCTTCTTGAAAACGTTCGCGGTGGCAGCCACGCCCTTGCCCACTACCTGGAAGCCCTTCGCCATCACCTTACCGGCGCCTTCAATGCCCGCCAAAATCTGCGGCTGGTTCGCCTTCTCCGTGTTGTACGCCTGCTCATTCGGCAGCAACGACTGCCGCACCTCCTGCGCCGTGACGGTGCCGTTGAGAGGAAATCGAGTGGCGGCGCTGATCCCCGGCAGAAGCTCCCCGAGCCGTCGCTGCCACACCGGCACTCCGTTGTTGCACTGCTTTTCAAACTCGTCGATGCAGTCACGCCAGAGTTGGAAGTCGCGTGCACCGCCGCGGTAGGCGGTAGAGATGGCGGTGCCAACGCTGGACTGCATCAGCATCCCTGCCCGGGTGACGGTCGTGCCGACGACGCTGCGCACCACGGTGCTCTGCAGCACGGCGTTGAGTTTGGGGATCATGCTGAGGGTGTACTCCATGCAGGACATGAAGTTGTCGCCCTCCGCCTTCTTGCCCTGCCGCTGGCTCTCGACCTGGGCCTTCCAAAATGAAATGAGGTCGACGTTCTTCAGGCGGTCTTCGACCTCGCCCATAAACGCAGCGAGCAGCCGTTCAATTCCCTGCTGCAGCGACTTGGAGAACAGCTTCGCACAATCCGCCATCAGCTTGGGCGAGCCCATGGCCTGCGTCTTCTCCCGCTCGTACTGACACTGCCAGTGCAGCATGTACTGCTGCTCCGCACACGACACCAGCACCGGCATCATGGAGCAGCTCGTGACGAAGACGGCCAGCTGCACAACGGAGCGGCTGCCCAAGGTCATGAGCTGACCGAACATCGACTCCGCCATCGTGCGGAAGAGCAGCGTGAGGTACTTGAGGAGCATCTCGTCCACGTTGTTCAGCTCCGACGGCATCACCACCGTCGACGGGTCCGTGATGATAGTGGTGTAGCACTGCCCCAGGAACTTAAGTACGCAGTCGCCCGTCAGCGGCACAACGTTGCTGTACGGGAGTGTCACCACACCGGAGGTGTACGCGGGCGGGATCGGCAGCTCCAGCGAGACGCAGCGGTGGAAGTGGAAGCGAGCAACCTTGTCTTCGAACTGCGTCGCGTCGGTGGCCGTCGCGGGGTTGAAGGCGTCACTGCTGATGAGCAGCATACACTCCACGCAGGCCTGCTGCAACCACGAGCTGATCAGCTCGTCGCTGCACGTCTCCATCGCGCGGGAGAGCGGCAGGTTGCTCACCTCCACGCACTTCACGTTGTCCGCCGCACACCGGATCAGCGACTGCAGCACGAGCACTTCCTGCACCGCTTCGTCCGTTTTGTTGGGGTCCGACAGCAGCACCTTCAGCACGTGGAGAGCGTGCTCCGCCACCTTGCTCGACAGCACCGCCCACAGCTGAATGATTTCCGCACTGGAGCGTAGGTGCGGTGAGGTGGCGCAGTACACGATGTCCTCGATCAAGATAAAGCCCAGCGCCGTGGCGCAGTACTGCGTGAACTTACGCAGCACCTCCGCAGGCGGCAGGTCGGTCAGCACCATCGGTGCCTCGAGGAGGTCCGCGCGCGCCTGCTGCCACCTTCCCTCCCCGTAGTACTTGTCCAGGTACTCCTCGCGGTGCAGCTCGATAAAAACGGCTTGGATGCCCGCCCCGTTCGACACGGCGGTGATCGCGTCGGCCTCCGCAAACGGAGCGGCCCGCAGCTGCGCCGGGACGAAGTCCTCCTTCAACCACCATTGCTCACTCGCGTCTGCCATCTCAATGTGCGAGGATAGGTAGCCCGCCGCTGTCGTGCCCTTCCAGTTCATGGCGGCCTGGCCTATCGGGTACGCCTTGTCGCGCAGCACCCGCAGCCAGCTGTTCAGCTGCTGCACGGCGTAGCTGAACACGTCCTGCGACAGGGCAGGCACACGTACGTGCAGTATGTATTCGCCGATGGCGTACTCGCTGAGGGGGGCGGCGAGCCGAATTAACTCGCGCAGTGTCGTGACGGCGCCGACAAGTTGCTGACGGTCCGTCTGAGACTCTGCCGTCTCTAAATATTCGGCAACCGCAATGGACTTGGACAGCAGCCCGCGTACCTGCTGCAGGTTGTCGCGCGTGTTTCGCGACAGCAAAAGGTTCGAGGTGACCTTCTTCATGTTTACGACGGCGGTGCGCACCAGCGTTGTGGCGCCGCTCAGCTCCTCGCCGACGAGTTCGGCGTCCCGCTCGGAGATGTCAACGCACTGCTGCGCGGCGTGGAGCAGCGCCGGGTAGTGGTGCTCGCACAGCGCCTCCACCTGACCCTCGTTTTCGGTTATGAATACGCCTAAGTCGCGCAGGAGGTCCTCCTCCTCCCGCCGCATGTACGCATTCTTCAAGGTCGTGTAGTCGGCGAATTCGCCGTCCACGAGGGAGGTGATGGCGATGTAGCGGGAGGGCGCCATGCTCAGCACCGCGTCGGTGCCTTTCTTCTTCTTCGCCGCATCGCCCTGCAGCGCCGCACCGCGAGCCGCAGCGGCCGCCATCGACAGCGCGACGGACGGGCTTGCGTTGTCGGCGTCGTCGCTGTCCGACGATCCCCCCGACTGCGAGTCTTCGTCCTCATCGCCCGTGGCGCGGTTGCTGAGGGAGCCGCCGCCGCGCTCCTGTTGTGCTAGGAAGGCGGCGGTGCGCTGCGCGCTCTCCACGATGTACATGACGCGCTCCTCGATCTCTTCCGCGTCTGCCGCGGAGGCCGTTGTCAGCGTGACGCTGCTGAACTCGTTGAGCGCCGCATCGGTCGTCTCCTTGTAGGACTTCGGTGTTGTGCTGATGCTGATGGCCCGAGCGTCGAGGCAGGTCAGCGTCACTTTACTCAGCTCCGCCGTGACGGAGAGCTGCCGGTTGGTCCACACCGCGTACAGCTTGAAGCCCTTCACTTTAATCATGTAGGTGTAGTACTTGGTGCAGAAGAGTAGCACGAACTTCCGTGTGCCATCGCGGTCGAGCGCGACTGGATCGGCGGTGGAGAAGAGAATGCGCGGGGTATCGCAGTGGTCACGCAGCACCTGGTAGATACGGCGATCGTTCTTCGTGGGCTCTGCGTCGTCCATGGCGAAGTTAAAGACTCCACGGTTGTTGGCTACGATGTAGAGGAGAGGAAGAAGAAGCAGAGGCAGCGGCTAAACGTAGCTGAGAAAACGCAATGAAAGAGAACACCCAAATGGGGAAAGCAAAGAAAAGAAAGCAGCCTCGTAGCTGAGAGTGAAATTCAGGTGGAGAGAAACAACGTGTATCGCTTCAAGACCGCGGTGTGGTTTGTCGGTGACATCCACCCGGCTCTGCGCACGTGGGCTTGCCGATGAAGAATCCAGCTATTGAAAACAACGACGGTTGCGACGGCGACGGTGCAAAAGCGGAAGTACAAGAATAAGGTAGAAATTGAAATAAAACAACAGAGAACAAAGAGTGGGGGGGGGGGAAGGGGAGAAGCGGTCATACACTTTCATAAGTATTTATTTGTTGCATTGACGTGCATTACCACCAGCCGAACCGCAACGCAGCGTTGCTCTGCGCCTACTCGCTCGATAAGGTCATCTGGTTCTGTTCTACCGCCCGTACGACTCACACTCCCTCACTCACAATCCTGTTGGAGCCGAGAGAGGAGAATCGCACCTTAGTCGACTAAGGTGCATTACAATTGTCTGATTTCCTTGACGATCATTTTTCTTTGGTTTTCTCTGAGAAAGTCAGCAAGAAGTTGGACTAGAAAAAAAAGGATAGTGTTTGCAAAAACTAACAAACACACAAACAGGCGCGTTGCATCCGCCACTGCGAACCCACGCACTTTATCACACGTTCCAGAAGGAGGAGAGCGCAGAAGAGCAGGGGGGCGTGGTGAGGGGGAAGACGTGGGGCAAACATAAACACGCACACGCACATGTGAAACACACACGGGCGAGCAATTGAGATAGACTTCTACGTTTTTCTTGCTGTACCCGTGAAGGCACAGCGGCAAAAACAAAAATAAATCATTGACAATACAGAAAACAATGAAGATATGTAAACGAGGAATAATGGATAGGAACATGCAGCGAAAACTCCCACTTTGGACAATACTTCGCGGTTCTCCCTGTTTCTTTCTTTTCTCTTTCTCTCTCCTGCTGTCTTTGCACCCCTGCGGGCACCGACGGCAGCAGTTGAATCGCTCTTCTATATCTAAAACCGCGGTCGGGATGGAAACAAGAAATAATCTACGCTTTTTTATTTTTAGAAATCAAAGGAAAGGGGCAACCCCGCAGCGACCTTCACGTTCACGCCCCGTTTACGGTTGCGGGGTTGCCGGGGACGATGTTGCCAGCACCGCCTGACTGGAACCTCACAGCCTCTCTTTCCGTTTGCGGCTGCGGCTGAGACAGAGACGGAGGCGGTGGGGTGGTAGCATTTGTGTTGACGAGGGTTTGCGTTGGAGTTGGTGATGGGGCGGGCTGCACCAGCTGCGAGCCTTGAACCTGTGCTATGGGCGGACCTTGCAGTGGAGCTTGCGGCGGCGGAGGACCAGCTGAGGGATCGGGGTAGTACTGGGCTGCATATCTATTAAAAGGCTCCTGCTGACGCACCGGCGTGGGATCGCTCCAGTGGTTTGGAGGAGTGGGCTGAGGTCGTTGGAACGCTAAGGGTCGCTGTGGGTCTGGCTGCGTTGCGGCCGTCTGCTTCGGGTGCTTCGTGCTCTTTTTCGTTTTCTTCTGTTTTTGCGGTCCGACGCAGCAGGGGAAGAGGCAGCTGAACAGGCGGCCCCAGCAGTCACAGCAGCCATCGCAGCCCTCACAGCCGCAGCAGCTGACATCGCCGTCGCTGCCCACGTCGCCTGGGGGCGGCATGTCGCTGGCCATCAGGTGCGGCGGCGGCGGGAACTCGACCACGGACTCGCCGTCCTCTGCGTAGACAGGCGCCGGTGGTGGCAACGGTGGAGACGGCACCTGCGCCTCGCCTTCCGCTTCCACGAAACGGCCAGTGTCCATTTCTTCTTCTTCTGGGGGTGTCGCCGCCTTGCCGCCGCGTGGCTTTCCGCGCTCCTTCGCCTTCCCTTTGTCCTTCGCTTTGTCCTTCGCTTTCTCTGGTCGAAGCCCTTTTCCCCGCTCCTCCTCCCCGGCGGCCTCCTCCGCAGGGTCGAGCACCTGCACGGAGCGTCGTCGCGGCGACACACGCCGGTTATTGTTGTCTTCCGCATCGTCGTCGTAGGGCTCGTAGAGCTCCCGCCCAGTTCGTGGCCGACCCGGCGTGACGGTGCCGGAGGGAAGCGGCAGGGCTGCCCCGGCTGCCGGTGACTGCCGGTCTGTCGCCTCCGCTGGTGGGGACACCGCGTAGGTCGTCTCCGGTGGTCGGTACTCCGAGCACAGCAGCGTCTTGAACTCGTGCTGCGAGAGCGGCACCACGCTGTTCGAGGCGTACCACGCGGCAGGCGGTCCGTCCTTCATTTTTTGGCTTTCGACAGGGGCGACGCCGCCGCCGCTGCTGCCCGAACGGCCTGCGCCACACGGCCAGTTCGCGGTCGCCCACGGCTGCTGCTGCTGTCCTGCGCTGCGTGGGTTAAACTGCTGAAGAGGGGCCACGGCGAACTCCTGTCGGTGAGTGGCCGGCGTTGGCGGTGGCGGCAGGAGCTGCCGCGGTGGCGCGTCCTCCACCGGTGGCGGCAGCAGCACCGACGGGCGAGAGACGGAGTTGGCATGGGACGGTGTGCTGCTGCTGCGCCGCTCCTGAGATGGCGCAGGCGTAGCCTTTCTTGGGCTGCGCTGGCTTTTGATCGGTGTAGCGTGGCGGCTGTCTTCTTTCTTTTCCTCATCGTCGTCCGCTTCATCTTCGTCTGAGTCGGAGTGGGCGGTAAGAGCGTGATTGCGCGGTTGACTGCGTCGCCGATGCACCTTGACCTTCACCCGGCGTCGCGGGAACTCAATGCGAATGATGTGCTCACCGCCACCACTGCTACTGAAGGCGTTGGGTGGGTGGTGCTCCTCCGCCGGCGCACTCTTCTCCGCTGCGGACAGACTTGTTTCTCCGACGGCGTTGTGCTGCGGCGGTTCCTGCGCCGGCGCAGAGGTCGTTGGCGCCGTCGGCGGAGGAGCTCGTTTCTCTTCTGTGGTGTCAGCCTCGATGGTCAGCGCCGGCGCGGCGTCGTCTTCCTCCCTCCTCTTCTCCACCGTCGCTTCCAGCGCATCGATATGCGACGTGGCGTCCGTGTGCTGCGTGGGCGTGTCGGCTAATGATAGCATCCGCTGGTGATCGTCTCTAGCGGGGAAGCGCTCTAAGGAGGGGCCGCTGCTGAGAGCAGAGGTGGTGCATGGGGGACTTTTTTCATTCGCAGTAGACATCGCCGCGGGCGGCTTACTAGGTGCGTTGCACACGCGACTGGCGGACGGCGTCGATGCGTTCTCCTCCGCTGGGCTGTAGGAGCGCAGGTACGCCAGGGCCCCCGCATCGGTCGGCGCATTCTTCTCGGCGACGACGGGTGGTGGAGGACCAGCGATGGCCTTCGTTGCGGAGGCGGTGCGTGTGAGGTAGTCCTCCAGTGACGGGTACGTGTCCTGTAGGTCGACGAGGCGCTGCATCTGGCGGAGGGCCTCGTCCTCGGTGGTGAAGCGGTGTGGCAACGAGGAGCGGCGCTGCACCTCCGCCGCGAAGCTTTTCTTCTGCCGCAGCAGCTGCAGTTCCTTCTCCTTCAACTCGGTTTCCTTCTCTAAAATGGCGCGACAGGCAGCGGCGGCGGCGATTTCCTCGTCCTGCGCTGCGCTGCCGGGTCGCTGCGCCACGCGCACCAGCGCCGTCTGTAGGCTCTTTGGAAGCGACGGCTTGCGTTTGTGTTGCCGTGCGGCGTGGCGGTGACTGCGGTGGTGAGAGGAGGAGACTGTGCTGGTGTGGCTGTCCGTGTCTGAGGAGGCGGAGGAAGAAGGAGAGGTGGTGGTGGTGGTGGTCTCGCTGGTGGAGCTGTTGGTGCCGGAGCGGGAGGACGTGTCCGCTGTGGACGCGCCGTCGTCGTCGCCGCTGCTGCTGCTGCTGCTGCTCGTCGAGCTACGAGACGGTGAGGAAGAGGCCGAAAATGAAGCCGCTGATCGCCCGCGCCGTCTGACAGGGTGGTGCTTCGAGGCCGCACGCTTCGGCCGCTTTTTGACACTTTCCACGTCTTGACTTGACTCGGACGGAATCGGAGGCGGCGGCGGCGGAGGAGGCGGAGGCGGCGGTGGTGGTGGGGCTCGCCGGTGCGACGCTCGTGAAGGGAGGTCGCCATTGAAGTACGACTTCGAGGGTGGATCGTAGTTCGCACTGTACGCGTCCCGGCTGGGACGTCGGTAGTACGAGTCGTAGCTGTTCCGACGGCTTTGATTGCGCCAGCGGTCGATGTCGGCGTCTAAGTCCATTTGAACGAGTCCAATATCTAAGAATCAAAAAAAAAGGAAAATGAGGGAGATAATCAACGCATCAACACTTTCTAGGGGAGTAAAGGCAGGCCAAAGCGACTTGATGTACTTGTATTTCAGAGAGTGCCTGAATGTGCTCGGTGTGTGGCGTATATGTGAGCTTCCAAGAATACACAGAATAAGAGCAGTCCTTTTTTGAGTTGTTGACGGTGATGAAGAGCGATGCCTCTCACACGTGTGTGCGGCGCGACGGTGTCCGGGAGTTGAGACGCCCCTTCGCAGTTGTGTTTGTGTGAGCAAGGAAATACCGCTGCTTACAGCGTACATGAGCAACACAATAAAGTAATGGAGTTGAAAAGGGTTTTAAAAGGAGCAAGATAAAACCAGAACATGAACTGCAGGACATTGAAAAAAAAAAAACAGAGTCGCTTCTACCAAGGCATCCCACTTCCTGTTTCTATGCGAAATGCTCCTTTGGTGGAAGCAGGGGATAACAAAACCGTCGGTGCAAAGCCTTCACGTAGTAAAGTGGCCCATTGCTGCAGGGAAAGCAGCGCACAAAGGTAAAGCTCAGCGCCCGCTGAACTGCCTGGCACAGCAGCTACTCACAACAACAGAGACTGTACTCTCTTCGCACAGATTTGATTGCACTCCATTAAAATACAAATAATCAACATACGTCGCAGACATGGCGGAGACCTGTAAGTTTTAATTAATGGTCTAACGGCCTCGACTTTCCTTTTAGAAAGCTGTTTTTCTACATCAGACAACCATGACGCTTCGGATATCGGAGGAGGCTCATCAGTTACTACAACGTAGATTGCGCAAAAACCAGCGCATCTCTACCAATACACGGGAAGTACGGGCTGAAGCAAGTAAAGGGTGTTAGTTTCTACAGCCTTCAGTAATCTTGTTGTATATGAGTACTTCGTTCTTCTAAATGGCACCCTCCCTCCCCCTTCCCTCAGACAGACGCGATGAAAACCACGTCTGTGTCTTTTCTCGGAGCATTCTCACCTTCTACCGCTTTCACATGCACAAAACAGCGCATCAACGGGAATCCAAGTTGTATGCATTACAGCAACAACGGTGTCGTGGAGACAGGATCCATCGCACCCTCCAACGACACGCAGAGAGTCAGAACGGCTTTCGCCCACTTTATCTCTCGCGCCTCTACACCGCGTCTACGGTGTTCCTCCCTTCACTGTGATCAGGAATCGAACAGTCCTTCCCGCATACCCGTACACACACGGGGAGAGAATCTCGTCGGCCAACAACGTTGAAGGCATCTAGCGCCTCCACTCAAAGGACAACCTTTTTTGATTCTAACGGTGGTCAGCGAAAAAGGTTCATCTAGCTGTGCTGAAGACGATCTCAGTAAACGGCCATGGAGAACAACTGCCACTTAGGCGGCGGTGTCCGGCTCCATCCAGATGCGCGCGCGAAAGGTCTTGTACAAATCCCGCACGAGCGTCCGGAAGTCCAGGCGGTGCATCGACTGGTAGTAGAACGTCAGCTTGCGGCGATCGAACTGGTACTCGGCATCCACGATGCGCATCGGCAGCCCGCTCTCCTGCACCTTCTCCTGCGCCACCTCGACCGCACGCGTCTCCAGCTCCGTCTGCACCCCCTGCAGCTGCGTGACCTCCAAAACACTCGCCACTCTCAGCACTTTGCCGACGCCTTTGTCGCGATTCTCGCCGAGGTGCTGCGCCTCCGCGCCGGTCCACGTGTGCGTGACGAGGCCTATGTCTTCCCCCCGATCACCACCGACGACGACGTGCTCGCCTGGGGCGACGTAGCAGGGCGACTCGTACTGCAGCATCCGCTTGCGCTTAAACTCCACCAGCACCTGGCAAGGGCCGTTGTAGTCGTCTGGCGGGGTAGCCGGCACTTTGACCGCGTCCGGGTTGGGCCGCTTGCGCCGCTCCGCCTCCTCCTCCGGGTTGAACGGCGGCATCGAAGTGCCTTTGCTGACGACCTCGTCTAGCAAGTTATCGTAGTTCAGCTGGCCGCGGCTGATGGGCGGGGAGGCCATGGCGGGCGAACCAGCGAAGTTGTCGTCGGACATGTACATGTGACGCGGCGGGGTGATCATCGCGTCGACGTGGGCGGAGGAAGGCAGGCCGCCCTCGTCGCCCAGGCGCTCCTGCAGCTGCCGCAGCTGCGCAATGAATGAGGCGTGGCTGGCTTGCAGGTTGGACGACGACTGGCGGTACCACCAATCCACCGCCCCCTGTATTTCCTCGACGTCCTGCACGAGAAGGGAGGTGTTCATCGCCGCGAAGGAATGGGTGTGCGAAGAAAACGAAGAAGACTACGCTCCGTAAAGTAAGACGCCTAAGTCTACCGAGTTGAAGGACAGCGGCAATGTGCGAGTCGGAAAAAAGAAAGATCTACGGTGAAGAGACGCTGCAGCACACACCAAATGTGTAGAAGAGAAATAATCAACGGAAAGCACAAAGCAAAATAAAGAATCTAAAGGCAGAATTGGAGTGCGCGTCTCACAGCACTAAAGCAGGCGATCTTTGTGCGCCAGAGGAGAAGGTCAGGAATAGGGGGGACAGTCAAGACGGAAGGTGGGTTGGCGCGTGAGCGAAAGAGTGTGTCATCACACTTCGATGCGCCGCTGTTGTGTTGGGTGATCACCACGATACGGGCAACGCATGACATGAAAACGAAGATTGTTTGCCGAGTCTTTCTGAGCGTGAAGCATTCGCGGCCACACGTAAGATAGGCAACGGTCGGGAGAACGAGCAGTAATACTCCTCTTGTACGGTATTTTTGGTACGGCTTGTCGAGGGCTAGCATAGACGAAATCCGCAAAGGAAAGGAAACGACGACGATCGTTGCTGTGCTACCACGCCACCAGCGGGTCGTGGTCCGCCTCCGCCACCAACACCGTCGTGCCCTCCAACATGGACTCGAGCGCTTTCTGCAACACCGACTTCAAAAACCCGCGCTCCGTGTTGGTGTGCTCGCACAGTATCACCGCCTGCCGGGCCGCGTTCGCCGCCTGCACTTCGTGGTGCCCCATCTCGCCCGTCAGGAGGACATCGACGCGGCGGCGCAGCGAGCGGAAGACGCCCGAGCCGCTACCCGCGCAGAGAGCGACGGAGCTCACCTTGTGCGACGGTTTCCATTCATCCGGCAGGGCGACGCGCAACGTGGGCAAATCCAGCTGCCGCTTCAACGACTGCACAAGCGCCGTCAGCTCGATTTCCTCCTCCAGCAGCACCACTCGACCCATGCCGGTGCTCTCCGTCTGCTCCTTCGCATGGGGCGCGTAGGCAGCGGTGGGTTGGATGGGTGCTGCGGTGTACTTGCCGCTGCCGGCCACGAGCGAGGCGAGCCAGTCGTTGATGCCGCCCTCCGCTGCATCGAGGGACGTGTGCGGGGAGTAGACGGACATGCCGGCCATAGTCGCCTCGAGAAGCACCCGCTGCTTGGGGTCCTGTAGCACGAGTCGCTTCATGGGCCGAAAGATCGGGGGGTGGTAGGCCAGTATCACTTCCACGCCTTTCCGCACGCACTCCTCCATCACCGCCGGGGTCAGGTCGATGGTCAGCATCACAACATTCTTTTTGTTTGGCGCGGGGCTCTCGAGGAGCACACCGACGTTGTCCCAGGACTGATCAGCGAGGCTTAGCGGCGCCACCTCCTGCATCGCCTGCACCACCCGCTGGAGAAGCGACATCTGCGTTTGCACGGAACTAACGTGGGTAGAGAAGGGATTTTTCCTTTTGGGAGTTATGCACGTCAACGGAGCACACGTGCCGTCAGGTGCACTACCGATATACGATAAAAAAATGCGACCGTGAGTTGCTTCTTCAGGCCGTTTTCCTTGAAGGTTTACGGAAATCATCGTAGTACGCGTCGTGAGAGAAAGCACCGAGAAGAGGGATGAGGAAGGAGAGTGCAGCAGAGGTCGAGGGAGGCCGCTTAGGGAAGGCAATCGACAGTATCTGCGGGCAGCGACAGCTGCGTAGAAGAGAGAGAGAGAGGACAGAACAAACACCGAGTTTCCTTCTCCTTCTGCAGTCGGCGCCTTTCCTCTTCACGCCCTCTGCGATAAAAACAGAGCAAGACAAAGATGCTGCGTGGATCAGAGCTGGAGGGCGGAGCAACGACAAGTGCACCCAACACTTCCAAGCGAGTGACCAATTATTGCTTTACTTCGACGAAGTTCGTTTGTGCTTCCTCCTTCTTCTTTTGAGTCACGCAGGGCACACCACTCGGCGCCGAGGAGACGCCACGAGGCGAAGAAAAAGACGACTAGAAGCAACGGCAACACACTCCTTGACAGAAGAAGAAAAACACTCTAATCAGCAATGACTATTAAAGAAAAATATGTCGCGTTGTTGCGGGTAAACACGTGCGTGCAAAACGAACAAAGAAGCGGAGCAAACAAACGTCAGAGTTTGTTTTGCTGGTGATTAACGCGACTTTTGTATGGCCTCGTTTCGACAACAGAAGGAAGGAAAAAAAAAAGCTGCGAGGCGGAGGTGTGAAGACAACAGAATAATAATAATAAAAAAACGAGAAGGAGTTCCCCATCACGTGCAAAGTGTGAGATGATATTCTTTTGTAGGCCCACTAAATAGTATTGACCGAGTAAGAAGAGAAAGCGTTCCGCGCGCCACGATTAACCTCTCTGCGCAGTGATGTGCACCGAGCAAGAGTACCAAATCAATAGTAATAACAAAAAAACTGCCGCACAGAAGCGGCAACATTTTCGATTCAAAAAACGTCTTTGCGAGTTTATGTTGCCACCATGAAAAAAGAATCGCGCAGCAAATTTGGACCTCCCCCGCATATGTTGTAATTGCACGAGGCAGTGAAATAGTAAAGAAATCAAATGAAAGCGAAGTCAGCCAGCATGTACGTAGCACCACAGAACAGCAGCGGATGCAGTAGCAATTACACAGGCAACAGTAAAAGTGATTAACAACACTGGGGGTAATAGAAGAAGTGAGAAAAGGACAAAAAAGAGACAAATGTCTAGACTTCCTCTAGAGGTGAGCAGTGCTAATAATGCAGAAAGAAAGAAAGTAGAAGAGGAGCACCGTGCAGCTCGCCGTTGTGCCTTTCCAGTTTTCTCCCTCTCCGTGAGCGACACCACTGCTCCAAGAGAGTGAGAGATGGAGAGCAAGAGAGATAAAGCAGTAGCAGGAGTAATAGTGATTAGAAACAGAGGACTCGTCAATATAAAAAAACAACACAAAGGAAACAAAGAAGCGAAGTGGAAATGGTTGATGCAACGCGCTCCACGGAGAAAAACAAGGAAGGAAAGAAAGTGATAAAGAGAGCGTCAGGGGAACAACTCAAAAGGGTAGAGCAAAGATAAGGAGGAAACGAAAACGCGAAAGCAAACCACGCAAAAGCTGTGTGCCTGGAAAGCAAGTGCATCAACGACGAACCACCTTCAGTTAACTTCTGCCTGCGTACGTGAAGGGTGACGGCCGTAAAGACAAAAATCAAAGACGTAGCTGGAGAACTCCCACGAGGAGGACTCGCAGCCCTTCGCGTCGAAGACGTGATCGCGCAGCATCGAGCTGAACAGCTCCACCAACTTTGGGCCACGTCGACAGCGCACCGACCGCTGACTTGTCGGCGCCGTCTCCAGCAGCCACCGATAACTACGGTACGAGCCTCTACAACGGCTGTGCACACTGCTGAAGTTCCTCGAGCGCTGTATGACGATGGTGTCGTCGCGGCGTTCCAGCGACCACCAATACGAGGCCGTCTGCACCACAACGAAGTAACAGGACTTGGCGAGCACGTTCAGCACACTCTGCGGGCCCGTCGGCTCATCGAACTCTTCCACGGTGACGATGCGCTCATGGATGCAGGACTGCTCCCGCAGTCGCTCCACCACCTCCTCAATCGCCAGGAGACAACTCTGCTTCTCCTTGTACTGCCCCAGTCGGGCCTCTTCATCGGCAAATAGATCGACGTAGTGTTCACGTCTCCCACCGCACGCATCGCTGAACATGCCGGCGGTGTGCACAGGGGTAAGGGAAGACGGAACGACCTGCAAAGGTCACGAACGACAGCGGAGAGGAGAGTAGGAAAAGCGCGCGTTCAAATAACACCTAATACAGCCCTCTATATATATTGTTAAGAAAATGCAGTACGCCTCAACAACTCGAGCGTACGAGAGTAACCGGAGAAAACAGTAATGATAACTAACGACAGCACGAGAGATTTTATACCCCCCGACACATTCGTTGGCAGCAAAAAACCTCAGCAAGAAAAAAAGAGCGAGAGTCGTGATGCTTCAGCGCGTCGGTCAACGCCGCAAAGCGCTCTGGCGCCCCCCGGAGAGGAGAAAGAAGACACAAAAAGGGAGTAGGAAGTATAAGCAATAGGAAGAACAGAGAGAACACGTACGTTGTGATTTGAACCTTATTTCTTTCTTCGGACGTGCTCGGACTCCTCGTCGACTGACGGACGGTGTTGCTGCTTGTGTTGAGGAAGAGTACTTCACATTCGCTGATGCACAAACACACACACACACACACACCACTGCCTTGCGGTGTTTCCATTGACATCAATGTGAAAGAGAAAAGACAAGAGGCGAAGAAAAAAAGGGAAAGGTAAGTGACTAGAAGGGTGCGTTTCGTGTACAGAAACAGCAGGATAATTTCGCATGGAGCGGCGGTGTTACTTAAAATGGTTCGCAAAGTTCCTTCTTCCGGCTTTGTTTTTTGGGGTTGATTTCGCCGGTGAGCAGAGCAGCTTGGAAAAGCACCGGAGAGACAAATTCTGTTGCCAACTGACGTCTCAATTCGGAACGGTCACCGTCATCGCACTTGTGTAATATATATCTATATATTTAAAGAGCTTTGTGTTTTGTGTTTAGTTGCAGCAGCGTCTGGAACGTATGTTTGGCGATAAGCCGCCCACCCCTCCAGCGTACCTCACGGACAGCGAGAGAATACACTTACGTCGCTGTGACGTGCCACTCACAGTTGCACACGACGACACGCCGCTCGGTTAGAAGGGGCCTTCCCAGGGCATCACTCCTCCAACTCGCGCCTTTTCACCTCGACAAGGCGAAACTTATTGTGCTTCGGAAGAGGAATTTCACACGGCAGACACGTAACGGGTGCGCTGGTGAACCACTGGTCCGTGAGAAGGGCATCCGCGGTTGCCCGCTCACTCGGCTCCAGACATAGCATCCGCCGCAGAAAACTTGTCTCTGCCGGTCGAATGCCGTAGCTGCTGCAGCGCTGCGCGAACGTATCTGTCTTTCCCTGTGCAAGGCGTACGGTGCACGGGCGGTAGTAGTACACAGTGCTGGTCGGCGCAGGAGAGCCGAGCCAGTCGACGATGTTCGCCAGGCAATCGGCCTCGCTGCGGCTGCGGCCAAATGGCACGCCGCCGGTCAGCATCTCAAAGAGAATACAGCCGCAGCACCACAAATCAATGCTAAAATCGTAGTCGTCATGGACACCCACCAGCACTTCAGGCGGCCGAAAAGTTGTGATGCAGGGCGGGCCGGTCATCGCCCCCGACGCCGCACAAAACCGTGACCAACCGAAGTCGATCAGCTTCACGATGCCCGTGCGGTCCACCATGACGTTGCTGGGCTTCAAATCGCGATGGATGATCTTGTGCTGGTGTAAATAGCTGAGGCCAGCGAGAAGCTGGCGAAACACACACTTCACGACGTGCAGCGGCATGCGTGTGTGGTCGGCGTGGGCGGCGGCCGACGGCGAGACGGAGGACGAAGACGACTGCACCGAGACGTCAGCGGGCCAGCGACGTATCAACGAAGCAAGGTCATGCGCGATGACCGGCATGAAAAGCACCAGACTCCCGTCCGAGAGGACGTGGTAGTCGATCATCCGCACAACGTTCGGGTGGCTGAGCGTGGAGAGCAGCTCCACCTCGCGGAAGGTGGTGTTGTGGATGCCTAAGGAAGTGCGCCGTCGACTCAGCAGTCGATGCATGCGCTTCATGGTGAGATAGGTGTGTGCCACCGTATCGTAGAGAATAAAAACTTCACCAAAGCTGCCTTCGCCGACCTTCAACACACGACGGTACCGCCGGAAAAGGACGTCATCCGTCAGACACGGCACCCCTGTTGCTTCAGCTGCGAGCTCCTCAAAGCGCTTCAGCATGGCGGGGTGCATCTGCTCCACCCGCGTGCGTCGCCGTGGTGAGGGCTCCTCCGTACCCTCGTCGCGATCCCGTCGTGTTCGTTCTTCCGTCATCCGTGAAGCACCGGACACGAACTAAACCGATGAAAAACAACACTCTTTGGTTTCAACGACGCAGAGCTCAGCTACATCGCGATAAAGACGAGACGAAAGCGCTTGCGAGCGAGAAGATGGGAGTTTAAAAACAGCTAAAAGAGTCACGCAGTGCCGCTTCATACATTATTGTTAAAAGATGAGAGGAGTTGCGTGTCTCTGTGTGTATGTACGTGCGTGTGCAGAGAACAGATATCTTCACATGCGAAGGACTTACCGTGGCCGAGCGGAATAGCTCTCCCTCTTCCTTTTGTCCGGATATGCGGTGAAAGATGAGAACACAAGAGCTTCATACGGCGTGTGCAGCGCGTGCGAGGGACACCATCAGCAAAAAGCGGGGCAAACAAAGAATTCGGGAAGGGCGGGGAGTGTCGCACTCGCGAGCAGGGGAGGAGACAGATGTGGGCTTAGTAGGTGGAATTACGATTTGATGCGGCAACAACAACTAACAGAGAGTTTTCTACTCAACGCGTTTGATCGTGTTCGGTGTCTTCACCTTTAAAGGGTGGCTACGAAATTGGGCCAATGAATGTGCAGCCAGCATGCAACGGAGAAAAACGGCAGGCGCACCTTTCGGGAAAACGGGAAACACTCAAGGTGTTTCTGCGAGTGTAACAACGCACCTTGCGATACATATATGTCTGTGCTTCTACGATTCACCGTGGTCTAGCTAACGCTGCAGTAAAGCTGACGTGTGCGCGTTCTGTTGACTGCTCCTCCTTGCTTGTAGTGATTGTCTCTTCAACCAACCAAAGAGGTTTAAAAATGCTTCCCCTTTCCGTCATCCTACGTGCCATTCCATCGCAGCACGTAATCTTTCTTTTCCCTTGTCTGAGATTTCCTCACACACACAGGAGTGGCGTGCAGCCCCATCGAAATTGCTCGGACAACATCGGTGCAGCAAAAAGGGCGATATAAACAATGACTAGGGGAGGAAGAAGAAAGCACAGAACGACAACAACGTCAGCCAACGCCGCCGTTCAGTTATCAATGAGACCTGCAAACACACGCCACCGGCACAAACACACACAAACAAAAAGCGTTAATTCATTTTTTTTTAGATAATAGTGTTAAATTTGATAATTGAGACTGGAAATGAATAAAGATAAAGCCACCTTTTGCTTGTCAATAGTATTTCTTCCTTCTCTTCCATTTCCTTTCACCGCAGGGCTTTCCGCGCTCTCCTTCTCCGCTAAGCGGATTCCGTCTTCGCAGCCTCGGCTGGGAACTTGAGCATCTCCGTGCCCATCATGAACGGCCGCAGCACCTCCGGAATGACGATGCCCTCCTCCGTCTGGTAGTTCTCGCAGATGCAGCACATCGTGCGGGTGACGGCGCACAGCGTGCCGTTCAGCATGTGGCAGTACTCCTTCGTGTTGTTCGCTGACGTGCCCTTCGTGTTGGGTCCGAAGCGGCAGTTCACGCCACGAGACTGGAAGTCCGTGCAGTTGGAGCAGGACACGAGCTCACGGAAGGCGCCGGAGCCGGGGAACCACGCCTCCAAATCGTACTTCTTCGCCGCCGCGTTGTTGAGGGCGCCGGAGCAGATGTTGATGACGCGGTAGGGCAGGCCGAGACTCTCGTTGAAGTCCTGCGAGGTCTTGATGAGCTCCTCCAGCATCTTCCACGACTCGTCCTCGCGAGGCGAGCACACGACGAACTGCTCGATTTTATCAAACTGGTGAACGCGGAAGATGCCGAGTGTGTCGCGGCCGTGGGCGCCGGCCTCCTTGCGGAAGCACGTCGACACACCGGCGTAGCGCAGAGGCTCCTTCAGCTCTGTAAACCACTTGTTCGAGTGGTAGGCAGCGATCGGTGCCTCGCTAGTGGCGATCAGGTACTTCTCGTCACCGTCACCCGACACCTTGTAGAGAGACTCGTCGAAGTCAGACAGCTGCGACACGGCGCTCATGTAGTCCTTGTTCAAGAAGAAAGGCGGATAGAAGGGCTCGTAGTTGCGTGACACGAGAAAGTTCATGGCGTACGAGATGAGGGCGAACTGCAGCTGCACCAGACCGCCACGCAACACGAAGGCGCGACCGCCAGCCATCGCCGTCACCGTCTTCGACGTGTCCATCAGGCCCAGCTTCTCCATGCAGTCAACGTGGGTGAGCTTCATGCGGCGCGTGACGTCACCGAAGGTGCGCACCGTCACATTGCCCGTGTCCTCGTCGTTTGACACGGGCACTGACTCGTGCAGCACGTTTCCGACAGACACTACCAGACGGTCGCGCTCTTGCTCCTGCTCTGCAGCGGCCTTGGCAAGCTCGGTGACCTGTGCCGCGAGGGCCTTCGACAGCTCCTTCAGTTGCAGAATGCAGAGGCCCTTCACCTTGTCCGCATCGAGATTACCCTCGTGTGCCGCGGCCAGCAGTTCCGCCGGCACCTCCGACACGTCACCGTCCGCCTCCTTCGACTTCTTCTTCTCGCCGACGGCTTTGCTGCAGGTGTTGATCATCTTCTTGGTGGCCTCGCTCAGGAATTGCGTGCGGCGCCAGTTCTGGTCCATCGCGATGATCTCGTCCACAACCTCCGGCTTCGCGTAGCGGCGGCGCTCCGACTCTCGCACGGCCGCAGCAGTGTCGGGGTCGCGGAAAAGAAGAATGTCGAGACCCATCGTTGCCGTGATAGAAAAAAAAGATGAGGACAAAAGAAAACTTTGAAATATGAGAAAGAAAGTCGCTGCACGTTACATGCTCCTCCATTTAAGGCGTTGACATGTACGTATATAAGAAAGCATGTTATTCAACGTGTTCGAACAGCAGCGGCGACACATAGAGATCAACACAGAGGAGGGAAAGGAAAGGAGAAGGAAAATGTTGAAGAGACAGCATCAGAGCGTGTGCGCTACTGCTCTCAATAAAAACACCGTTCTGTAGCTCCGATTCTGTTTTTGTACTGAATAAGATAACATGAAAGAGGTGCGACCGCCTTATGACCGTGCAGAGCGCCATCTGGGGTGAAATACACAGCGGTGAATGCCGGCGTCTTTGGATTGGCAATTTGTAGTTAAATCAGCGACCTGCGACTCTTCACTCTTCTATACCGGCTACTTTCTTTTGTGTTTCTCGTATCTCAGATTTGAAATGCTTCTGTTGGGAGACCTTGCACAAGCCCTCGGCTCGCCGCTAAAACAGATACGAAGCGAAAAACTAATGATACATGTTAGGCGAGAGACCTCCCACAGCAATATATACATCTTTGCGCAGCTGACGTGTGCGATGGGACATCCATTCCCATAAGCTTCGCCGCCGGGTCCTGCTTGAGAATCGTGCTCCTCCTCACTTTAGATCCAAACGCGTCACCTTCGTTTTCTATTTTATTTTTCGTACAGCCCGCGTTGTATTTCGTGCAGAAGCGCCGTGAATTTCGCACCGTCAGAGCAATCGGCGAGGTGTGCCGCTGTCATGATCGTTTCTACAAACTCGACGAAGCTTTGCGCTGCCTCGGCATTCTCGTTCGGCTGCTGCACCAACTTGTTTTTGGTCATGGCTGACACTCTCAATTCCTCGGCTAACGACTGCGATGGGGCCGTCTCATCGTTTGGCGCCGCTGCCGTTGGCTCGTCTTTCAACCACGCCAGCGCTTCTGCAACGCCGGCAGGGGTGAGGTGGTGCTGTGCGAGTGTACGCCGCATCGCCGTAAGGGAGGAGCGCAGTGACACTCTGCTGCAGCAGTCCCGCTCGCCGTCCCGCACGGTCTGAAGCTCTTTATAACACTTCCTCAACGCGGGAAGGTGCGCCTGCACCTCCGCAGAATGCCGCAGGGAATGCGGGAGGAATACCGCAGCCACGCAAGACGAAGATGAAGGGCTGCCCGTGGAGGTGGTGGCCACACGCAAGGAGCCCTCCAGCAGCGCACTCAGCTTCGCACTGACGGTGATCGTTGCGGGGCCCTTCTCCACCTGCACCGCTACCCGAATGAGCCACTCGCAAAACTGTCTGTAGTTGAGGGTGCCGTCGGCCTGGTTGATGTCTTCGATGGAGGAGGACAGGCTTGTTGGTCCGTGGGTCGTGGAGGAGAGCATGCTCATCTCCAGGTCGGTCGTTTCGATGTCAACCACATCCGCGGCTGTGCGTAGGGTATCACCAATCGTGAAGTCAGCGCCGATGATGTGTGCCGTGTGGAGGAGGGCGAGGCACTGCACCAGCGTCACCCGTCCAGGCAGCCGCTGCTGCCACCAATCCCACGGCGTCGAAGGCAGCGCCACGCCCTCTCTCAACCGGCAGCAGTGCTGGAAGAGTGTCTTCAACGTGGTGTTGTAGCGCTGCAGGAGGTTGTGCAGCACAAGACGTAAATCGTCCTCGGACTCCAACAGATTGCCCAGTCCGCACGGCGACACAGTGGGCACGATGGCGAGGGCGCTGATCTGCTCGGCGTCGGTGTTGGCTACCAACGCGGAATGAAAGTTGTCCTGCTCCTCCACCATCTCCCCAACAGCGGAGGTGAAGAAACCCAGTCCACTCTTCTCACCGGCCTTCCACCTCCCCTGGTAGCAGCTCCCATCCGCGTAATAAAAGGTTCCAGCCCCGTCGCGCTGGCCTTTGCTGTACTCACCCATGTACACGTTCAGCCGTGCTTCCGCAGGCGTGATGAACATGGACGGCACCGGCAATGGCGTGGAGGCGTCCACAGGTGTGGTAGCGCTCTGCTTTGGCACGGCCACGTATGTCGACTGCCCGGCTCCTTCCGGCTGTCCGTCCCGCCATTCCCCCACGTACAGCTCCTTGAAGAATGCTTTCGAGGCATCGACCCAGCCCATCGCACCCCGCCCAGAAGGGACATCGCCGTCCCACTCGCCCTCGTAAACGTCACCGGTGCAGTAGCGCAGGGTGCCGCGGCCGTGACGTGCGTTGTGCACCCACTGCCCGGTGTACACACTTTCATTGGCGTACTGCTGCACACCGTCGCCGTGCCGCATGCCGTCCTGCCAGTCCCCTTCATACCGCGACGCACCGCCGTCGGACACGAAGCTGCCGGAGCCGTTGCGGACGCTGTGGCGCAGCATCCCGGTGTAGAGGTCGCCGTTCGGCCAATGCAGCGTGCCAACGCCGTCGACGGTGCCGTGCGCAAAGACGCCGACGACGGTGCGGCCGTCACTCCAGCGCAATGTGCCCTGCCCGCTCGGCTCTCCCTTCTCCAGAGCCCCACTGAACGTGTACCCGAGTCGAGCGTGCACGGTGCCGACGCCTTCGAGCACTGGATAGATGTCTGCCTCGGCACATTGTGTTGTACCAGCGTAGCTGTCCACCGCCGTGATGGTGCGCAGCGGCCCTGTGTTGTGTGGCCGAATCTCCTCTAGCGCCGCGTACGTCGCCCTCCCTTCCTCCTCCACCGCCGTCATGTATAGGGATTTTGTTTGGGATTGCTATTTCAATGGAATGGACAACCGGATGAGACAGCGATGATACATCTGCTTCGGTTAAGGAGGAAAGAGCACAAATGTATGTGCGAGAAAGATTGGATTGGGGAGCGAGAGAGGCAGTGTAACACCGAGAAGTGTGGATAAGAAGAAACACAGGTTCCACAACAGCAAAAACCAAATACCTACGCTTCCCTTTTAGCTTTAATGACGAGCAGTTCGTAGCGTCAAGGAAGCGTGCAGAAGGCGTTCTTCACTTCATCTTGAGTAGCGGCAGAGCAAGAGATTTTTATGCAATCAAGCCAACGTGGCACAACCCTCTGAATGCACGCAAGCAGACTCGTAAAGGAAGACCTCGAAAAGGTCAATGAGCGTGTCAGGAAAATAAATAATCCGTTTCTCGGTTTAAGAGATGTTATTGGAGGCGCAATTCGACGCAGGTTACGATTACACGTGAAACACATTTAATTAGTCACACTGGAAGTAGCGAACAGTAAAGAAAAAAAAAACAAGACAGACAGCACAATACCTGCAGATCAACGCAGAGGAGGTTAAAGGGGACGCGTTCCTTCTGCTTTCCAAAAAAGGTCAGCATCGTGACAGTGTCTCTTACTTGGATTTCTTGGGAGCCGTCTGCTGCTTTATAAAGCTGCGGATAAATTCCAAGTCCTGCTGCTCCTCCTGTATCATGTTCTTTTGCTTATCTTTGAGAATCTTGCGGTTGAACTTCTTGCGAGCGATTTTGCTTTGCTGACGCGTCAGCATCAGATTAAGCTTCAATTGAGACACACCGAGCGAATCGCGCTGGTTTGTGCCGTCCAGCACCTTGACGGCGTGCAGCGCCATCGCTTTGTTGCGAAACGTGAGCACGGCAAATTGCGCTTTGTTCAGTAGACTACCTTTCTGTGAAGTCCGGAGGACCACTTTGGGCTCGTACGCCTCGAAAACTGTCCGAACGGCGTTCACCTCCGTACCCGGCTCGAGAAAGCAATGAAGTCGGTATTCCGTAGAATTTTTCTTCTTCGCCTTTTTGCGCGTCTCCTTCTTGGCGGAGCCGATGATTTCGCTACCGGCACTGCCCGCATCACTGCCGTTGTCGGACATCACATCGGGATCCACGTCGTTGTTGTCCTCTACCGTGCTGATGTCCTTTTTCGCCGCCGCGCCTCGTCGCTTTGGGAAGCGTGCATCGCCCTGCACCTCGCTACCCCAGATAGCGGCCAGCTCCAGCTGCTTCTCCTTTTGAAGGTCGCGTTTGACCATCACTTTCACTGAAGCAACAAAAATGAATCGCTGTAGCGCAACGATCAACCTCCGTTTTGCTCGTTCTAAAAACCCAACAAACCCAACTGACAAGAGAGAGTACAACGAGAGAAGAAAGCAGAGTGAGAGCAGCAACGGCGCAGTTTACACATCGCATTACGGGTGGACATTAAAACGACAAGAGTGGGGTGAGAGGGAGAGAGAATAAGGGTGAGCGTCGCCACTGTAGCCAGCCGTAAAGAAGCGAGTGCTAGGCACGGCAGTCCAATAATGACTTTCCATCAAAGCACCTTTAAAAAAGCAATCAGCAGGCCAAAATGTACCGAAATGCAGCCCATCTCAATACTTGCCACTTTCATCTACACAGACTTCACTTAACAGTCGCTGGTCGACCACTCTTTTGAGCTTCTAAAAGCTGGAATAAAAACTACACTTTTCAGAAGACAACGCGGTCACTCTTCTCGAGGCTAACCATCACCGTAGAGTACGTTATTGTTGTGAATCAGTGAAATCGCGGGCAGCGCGGGTTCGCCGCCAGTACATCGCTTTTTTGCTTGTTGTTGAACTCCAAGACCGTGCAAATCGCCGGGATCATCTTCGGCCGAAGATCATCTGCTGCGCACAGGTACTGGTGCACGATGTTGCGCAGGTACTCAATACCGATTTGGATGCGCTCGTTTGCCTTGTAGCCCTCAAGTTCTCGGATGTACTGCGCGATGACAGAGTTGTTATGGGCGTTTTCTCGCTTCAGCTCCTCATTCTGCTTCGCCAGCTGTTCCAGCTTGGACTTGTTCGATCGCACCAGGCCATCTTGAGAGCCCTGGCTGCTGACAAAAGACGCCACGTCGCGGTCCGTTATGCCGCCGGCTGCTGCCCGCAAAACAGACTGCACAGCACTCGCGCTTTCCGCGCTGGTCGACGCTGGTGACTCCGCTCCCGCCGCGTCGTGCTGCTGGGCCCGCTCTCGGTGCACCGCCTCCCGTTGCCGCTGCAGTTCCTTGCGCAGCAGGTCGCAGCGCGTCTTCAGTTCCGTGTTTTCGGCCTCCACTTCGCGGATGCGCTCTTCCTGTGCAGAGGAGTTGGCCGCCTCAGACTTGAGAGACGCAATGCGCGCATCTGCTTCAGAGCAGTGAGTGGTCAGCGTGGCCACTGTTTCCTTGAGAGATGCGACTTCAGCTTCACTCTGCACCTTCGCCGCGACTGCTTCCCTCATGGTTTCTTTTTCCTGTTTTAAGAAAGAAGACATTGCTTCAATGGAGGCCATCACACTTGATTCGCCAACGCTGACACTCGACTCCTCGCAGAACGCGTTGACAGTGGTCTGCACCTCAATAAGGTACCAGTTGACTGTCGAAACCCAATCATCTGGAAGCTTTTCCACCACCTGCACCGGCTCAGTACTGCCATGGAAACCTGCAACGGAGCGGAACACGTCCACCGCTTCTGACTGCAGCATCCCCAGCTCTTTTTCCAGAGCCTGAATCCGCTCCGTGTCACCAACCTTTGCCGCCTTCACCTTGTCCTTCCAAGCAACAAGACTTTCCTCCAACTTCTCCAAAGAGGCATTTTTAGCATTCAGATCCGCACGCACCTCCGCAACCTCTTCAGTCAGTTCGCCAACTCGCTGCTGCGCACTACCCATGTCTT